CTTCTTCCTCAGGTCTACTCTTCACTCTTCAATTCCTCTTTCGAACACTCCGGCAAACCCCCCCCCCCCCCAAAAAAAAACAAGAAAAAACCCCCCAAGGCCCCCCCCCCCCCCCCCCCCGCCCCAACAACAACAAGGAATCTCCGCTGCTGGCGCCTGCATCCGGGTACGCCGTTCGGCGGCCGGAGCCGGTCCCGGTTGGGGGGGGGGAAGGGGGGTGAGACGCAGGGGGCTGCCGGGGGGGGGGGGTTTTGGCGGCTCCGGGGCGATTTTTGTGAGGCTCCTGTTTGTTTAGGGTTGCCGCAGGGCTCTAGAAGCGTTTTTTTTGTTGTGTGGTATTGGTATTGCTATTGAGGTTGGCTCGAGTGCTTGTTGTGGCTTGTGCCTCCTCGGAAGTTTTTCAGCTTCCGTGTGTTGGGTGTTTTTGTGGGTGTGCTTTTGCTTCCGACCCCAGGCCGGGGGGGGACCCGAAAGGAACCCTTAAGCCCCAAACCGAAACAAGCTCTCGGAGTCCTTCTCTGCCCTCGGGGGCCCCCCCCGAGCTTTCCACTACTGTGGGGGCGCACAGCTTGAGAGAGAGGCGGCGAAAGCAGCGCAAGTGGATGCTGGAGGGCTCACTTCAGCTAAACCCCAACAAAGCCTGAGCACGAAACGCCTGTAAGTCCCATAGCCAAGAAGGCCTCGGGGAGCCTTCTGACTTTCATGGGGCCCTTGGCCCTAAACCCCTTTAAACCCCGTACAAATCCTAAAAACCCTCAACCCTGAACCCTCCACCCTCAACCTCGTAAGGGACTTGATGGGACTAAAGTGATCTCTGTAGGATTTGTGTGGGGTTTGTGGGGTTCATAGGGGTTCAGCTACCCCTGAGCTTGCACAAAAATGGAAGGTGCAAGGTTCAGAGCCGTAATCTGCAACCAAACTGCCCAACAGATCACGGATCCATGGGGGGCGGGGTGGGTTGGGGGGGAGAGGGTGTAGAATGCGTGAATGTATGTGTGTGTATCCACCTAAGTAGATACAAAATGAAGCATATATAATACATATATATATATATGTATTATATTATATTATATTATATTATGTGATATTATATTATATTATATTATACTATATTATAATATATTATATTATATATTATATATTATATATTATATATTATATATTATATATTATATATTATATATTATATTTTATATTATATATATATGGCTCGCACTTGAGGTTCCTCGTTGCGCATCGCACGTGTCGCACATCTTCCGAGGCCGAACTGTCGGATCGACGCGAGCACGAGGGTTTCCGAACAATCGGGTTTCGTGTTCAGAGTTTCCGACAAGTGTTGGGCCCTCTCTTGGGGTACAGGAGGGACCATTCTACTCTAATGGAGTAGAAGCTCCGGTATCTGAGGACTGACATTGCTTTTGCTTCTATCATTCTGGATGCATCCTGCCCAAGTCTGTGCACCAAGAACATGCACAAACTGCACTGTGGCGGCCCCCTGGTGTTGCGCTGACGCAGGGAGCGACATCCTCTTGGTGCTTGAAGTTCACACTCGCTTTCCCGCCTTCCTTCCAGAAGATTCCTCGGAGTGGCGGCGTTGGCGCAAAAAAGCCCTGGCTTCTGTTAGGACCCCCGTGACTTGCCCTATAGAAGGCCCCTGGACAATGTGTGTGAGAGGCTTCTCAGCGCTCTCACAGGTCTCTTGAGCCCGCCAGGGGATCATCAGGGGCCTTGGGGTCAGCAGGGGCAAGGGGTCACCGGGAGAGCTCAACAGAAGCCGGGAGCACGAACTTCCGCTCCTTTCCAGGTTTGGGGGGTCATTGCCTTCAGGGTGCGATCTTGATCCAGCCTTCACTTTTGTCTCCAGCTGCAGCTTTGCTAAGTGCTTCTCGCGTCGCGGTATGCAAATAAAGAACGACAAATTAATTTTGCGCGCGCAAAAAGCGGCAGCGGATACAGATCCGATTCTGTGCACATGTTCCTGCTCAGCTAGTTTACAGAGCAGACTGAATTACCATCGTTCATGCGGCTCACTCCGGATGATGGCAGCCCCCCCCACAGGGCTCAAGACAGAAGGCGTCCTGACATGTGAAGGCCAGAAAAGCCCAAAGCCCCCACCTTCCGCTCCTGAAGACCTGAAACCCTATAGCTCCACACCGGGCTTAAAGCCTCAGACACGAACACCCTCAAACCCTAACGCCTCGGGTCACAGGGGCTGCCAGTGAACCTCAGTGCCCTCGGTACTTGCACGGGAACTGACAGCTAAACCGCAAATGCCCTCGCCCCCCCCCCCCCCCCCCCCCCCCCCCCCCCGCCCCGCAAAAAAAAAAACACTAAATTGCAAGCCCACACCTTGCCGGAGCGAAAGCGAGCTCCTAGCCCTGAACCCAAAACCCTAAACCCTGAACCCGAGACCCTAAACCGAACTGAAACAACTCCTAAACCTCTGAAAGAACTGAAACAACTGAAACAAAGCCGTGAGCTTCGCACATCCAAGCCGGAGCCCTCAGCCGCCCAGGGCTTAGGATTTAGGGTTTAGGGTTTCGGGTTTCGGGTTTAGGGTTTCGGGTTCTGGGGTTTCGGGTTTCGGGTTTCGGGTTTCTCAGGCCCACCAGCACACCTCCGGCAATCTCGCGGACCGGCGTGGCAAAGGGGAACTGCCCTGAGTCTGTTCCAGGGAACGCTTGCTGGAGTTTGGGTTATGGGGTTTAGGGTCTGGGGTTGGGGGCGGGCTAGTCCACCCTGAGAAGCGGTGCAGCCCCTCGTGAGGCACGGGGCTTGGGGGATTCAGGGCCTAAGTTGAGAGCTTCAGGGTCTTGAAGAATCTCAACACTCTGCTCAGCAGCTCCACCACCCCTGAACCCATGGGGGAGGACAAGAAGGCTCGAGCCCAAGCGCCCTAAACTCAAAACCCCACAGCGCAGAACTCTCCCTATGAAAAGCCCAAGCTGCGCCAACTCGCAAAACCCCAAAACCCAAAACCCCTCCCAGGTAGAGTAGGAGGGGGGAGGGGGGGGAGGGACCCTAAACCCTCAACCCTCAACCCTAAACCCTAAACCCTAAACCCTAAACCCACAACCCTACGCCAGGTACCCTTTTGGTGGGCGGAGGGGGCGGGAGCCTCTAGGAACTCTGGGGCCCAGGACTTAGCATCCGAGAGGATGTTCTTTCTTCTTGCACCATCCCGGCCTTCTTCTTTTGCCTCCTGGACTGCTGGGGTTTAGGGTTTAGGGTTTAGGGGTTTAGGGGTTTAGGGGCTTAGGGGTGTAGGGGTTTAGGGGTTTAGGGGTTTAGGGGCTTAGGGGTTTTGGGGTTTAGGGGCTTAGGGGTCTAGGGGTTTAGGGGTTTAGGGGCTTAGGGGTTTAGGGGCTTAGGGGTTTAGGGGTCTAGGGGTTTAGGGGTTTAGGGGCTTAGGGTTTAGGGGTTTAGGGGTTTAGGGGTTTAGGGGTTTAGGGGTTTAGGGGTTTAGGGGTTTAGGGTTAAGGCAGTGTGCCTAGCTTGGTGGGGGAGGGAGGTGTGGTGAAGATCGGCATACAACTGAGCGGAGTGTATACCAATGTACAGGTAGACCTGCATCTACTTTGAAGATACACGTATGCATTATTTTTACATGTGCACACACAACGCGCAGGCAATCACACAAGCAATCACCACGGTATCACGCCCATAAATCACGCAAGCACGCACGCACGGGAACTAGGAGGGTTCAAGGTCTTCTTGAAAACCCCCCTGAAGGCCGAATCCCTACTTCGACCCTAAACCTCAGGCCTGAAACCTGTACAGCCCTAAAACCTTCAACCTGTACAAAGCGTTCAGTGCATAAACCATTGAGCCCATGAACCCTACAACTATACTCCCCTTAGAACCTTTAATTTTTTAAAATATCCTCTAGACAAGCCCCTAAATCCCAATGTGTCGGAGCGTGTGCTGTTTGGCCTTCTTTCACGCCTCGGCAGGGGCCGCCTCTGCAGCCTGGCGCGGGCGCTGCACGAAGTGAACCAACCCAAAAAGGGTTGAGAGTTTAAGGGCTTAGAGCTTAGAGTTTAGGGCCTTTAGGGTTTAGAGCTTGTAGGGTGTAGGTCCATGATTGAAAACTCGTTGGAGTACCTAAAGTCTCAGGGCTCCTAAAGCTTCAAACTCCATACAGTAAAAGGCACCTCATCACCAAAGCTCGCTATGAGCAGAACATAGCAGGACCCTCGCATCCTTCGACAAACCCTGGCACCTCTCCCATTTTTGCTGACGCCGGTCATCGAACTTGCTGATCCAACTTGCCGCGCCTTGATGGAGTTTGTCCATCTGGCTGCTGTGGTATGGGCACTGTCGATGCGGGGTTTCCGAAAACGCTGACCTCCACTCTAACAGCAAAAGCAATACAACATCTCTTTGAGAACCCTGCAAAAGAAAACGAGAGAAATAGAGAACTCGGGAACGAGGTAGGCGGGATTACGTTGGGACCCTGCGTCCCGAACTCTCCCTGCCCCAAGACCCCGCGAGGCCGGTGTTTTTGGGAACCTCCTCAGAATTGCACAGCAGGCCTCGGAAGGCCAGTGCATGGGGGCCTCGCCTCCGAAATGCACAGAACTCTTCCGTAGAACCTGCCGCCTGGCGGCTTCGCCACCCCAGGTCCACAGGGGACAAAACTGAACTGAGACCCAGAGCATCTTAAGTACCCAGAGAGCCCAAAAAAAAAAACCCTGAATTAAGGAATATACCTCAAACGATCCCTTTGTATGACTTAAGGTCGACTCCGAAATTAAGAGATACTATGGGCTCTTTGACTACCTCAATTGGCTCTGGGGATGACCTGATGACTACGTCATCAAGGGGCGCGCGAGCTTGCAACAGCGCTTGGAGGTGCGGGCCCCATATTTCAGCCCCTTAAGTACCCCAATTCAGGGCTATGGTTGGGTGATAAGCCCTCGACCCTAGACCCTAAACCCTAAACCCTAAACCCTACACCCTACACCCTACACCTAGCTAGAATTTTTGTGATAACTGGGTTACCACATGAACCTCCAAGCTGCTGCAGCAAGAGCCATCAGAGCAGCTGCGGAGCTCGCCGCGGAAGTGTCGGTGGTGAAGCCTTTCTTTTGGGATCAGGGTTCAGGGTTCAGGGTTCAGGGTTCAGGGTTCCGGGCTTAGGGTTTAGGGATCTGAGGGTTCATGATGAAGAGCTTGAGGGATCTGCTGAACCAGCATCCTTCAGCTGACCCTAACATGCCGCTGCTTCCAATGCACAGGTATGAACCACAAGTACACCACATGTGCAAATTGTAGGTGCTCCGATGCTCCCCCCCCCCCCCCCCCCTTTTCCCGCCTCTTCCCCCCTCTTCAAGCCCTTGCGCCAAAGCTTGGGGAGGCTACATGTAAGGCTTAGGGTTGAGGGTTCAGGGTTTGGGTAGGGTTTAGGGTTTAGGGATTGGGGTTTAGGTTTTAGGGTTCAGCATCTCACGTCCAAGCATTTCACTAGTAGAGCTCCTTACTCCGGTGTCGCATATCGACCCACCCACCCATTGGATCCCATATCGTGATGAAAATATTTTACGTTTCGTTTTAGCCTGAAGACTTTAGGCTCAGGGAGGCCCAGAGCAAGCCATAAGCCCTAAAACCAGCCCGGAAAAGGAAATAAACCCTAAACCCTAAAGCCAGCCCAGAGTAGGCCTTAATACCCTAAAGCCAGCGCAGAGTAAGCCCTAAACCCTAAAGCCAGCCCAGAGTAGGCTTAAATTCTAAGCAAAAGCAGGCCCACTAAACCTAGACCAGCGTAGCCCTAAGCCCTAAAGCCAGCCCAGAGTAGGCCCTAAACCCTAAAGCCAGCCCAGCGCCGAAACCCTAAAACCAGCCCAGACTTTTGGTGGAAAACCCGGATTTTTTAGTGGAAAACCGGGAAGTTTTGGTGGAAAACCGGGAAGTTTTGGTGGAAAACCGGCAAATGTTGGTGGAAAACCGGGAAGTTTTGGTGGAAAACCGGGAAGTTTTGGTGGAAAAAACCGGGAAGTTTTGGTGGAAAACCGAGAAATGTTGGCGGAAAACCGCGAAGCCATTAGCCATTAAATATACATAGGTTAGAGAGTGCTTAGGGTTTAGGGTTGAGGGTTGAGGATTTAGGGTTTAGGGTTTAGGGTTTAGGGTTTAAGGTTTAGAGTTTAGGGTTTAGGGTTTAGGGTTTAGGGTTTAGGGGTTAGGGTTTAGCATAACGGCAACTAAGAAACTAGGTTCCACCTGTTCCCTTAGGGTTGAGGGTTCAGGGTTCAGGGTTTAGGGTTTAGGGTTTGGGGTTTGGGGTTTGGGGTATAGTTCCCGATCAAGAAAAATTTTTGACATACCAGCTGCAGGAAAACCAGAGAACCCAAAAACGTACGTGCATCAGCGAAGGGTACTGATTCCTGACACCCTCAACGGCCCTAAGCCCTAAACCCCTGCCAGCCCTAAACTCCAGAAACCCTAAACATCCCTAAACCACTCACCCTATAATCGACCCCTAAAACCACAACCCCCCAGACCCTCAAGCCCTAACTCTATAAACCCTAAACCCCTGAACTCTATAAGCCCTAAACCCTAAACCGCCCTAAACACCTAACCCTATCAGCAACCCCGAAACCCAGAACCCCCTATACCCTGAACAGCACGAAGCCCTCAAGCTACTGCGCCCCAAAGAGCGGGATACATCCACGCCCGTCATGGCGCGCAGCACGTCCACAGCTGCTGCAGACGCCAAGTCACCATGGCTCTCGCAGGCTGGGGGGTTCCTTGACGACTGGCATTGGGATGTTCCCCCGTACACTAACAGTCCTCAATCGGGATTATCACAAGGGGCACTGCCACCCCGATTAAGGACCGCAGCTTCGGTGTAGGGTTTTTGGCTTCGGGCTCGCACTGAAGGCTTAGGCTCGAGGGTTTAGGGTTTAGGGTTTAAAGGTGGTTTAGGGCTTAGGGTTTTGGGTTTTGGGCGCAGATTGACTATTATGAAAAACGCATGTACCTGCATGCGCTGCACATGCAACGCAATTGTCACGCACGTTCATTGCATGTGTTGTGTGCGTCTCTGTACACGGTAATGTGGAAGCCTCCGCTGCACCCAACAGCCCCTGATCCGGGCGTTCGGTGTACCGAGAACCTCCCTCCTCCCTTCGCCTAAACACAACCTCGTAATCCCCAAACCCCTAAGCCCTTAACCCCAAAACCAAGCCTCTAAACCACTCAACCCCGAAACCCCTAGGTTGCCCAGGAACCTAAGGTTTAAAAAGACTGCCCTTTTTGGGCGTGAAGGGGTTTGCAAGGGAGCCTCAACCCCCCCCACCCAAAGAGAATAAGGGAGCACTGGGCATCCTAGCCGAAAACACCCTAAACCCTCAACCCTAAAACCTAGACCCTCCTAACCCTAAACCCTAACCCTAAACCCTAAACCCTAAAACCCTAAACTCCCAAACTCCAAAACCCCAAAAGCCCTGAACCTTAGACCCTAACTAAGCTGAGCTTCACTCAGGAGGGTAGCTAAAACTTAAGCTTTTAGCTGCCTTAAGAAGAAACCCAATACACCCAAAAAAGGTAAGGATCTAAAGTTACAGTAAAGTACCACAAAGCTAAGCTGAGCTTCAGGGCGGGGGCCGTGGACGTCACGGCCAGGGACAGGAGCTGCAGGGGGTTCTGGGTCAGCTCCTTGGCAGCCCAGCAGCCACACCACGATAAGGGCACCCCTTTTTTGGGGGGTTTAGGGTTTAGGGTTTAGGGTTTAGGGTTTAGGGTTTAGGGTTTAGGGTTTAGGGTTTAGGGTTTAGGGTTTAGGGTTTAGGGTTTAAGGTTGAGGGTTTAGGGTTTAGGGTTTTAGGGTTTAGGGTTCAGGGTTTAGGGCGGTTGGTTACTTTATAAGGGAGCAAGAAGCCCCCATGGTTCAGGGCTTCAGTGTTTCGGGCCCTAAACCCGTAAAAGCCATAAACCCTATGAACTGTAGGGATTAGGGTTCAAGGGTTAGGGTTTAGGGCACCCGGCCCAAGTTACTAAGCCAAGCAAAGCCACGAACGCGTTTTGCCCGCTCAACATTTGCGGGCTCGGGCAGAGTGAGATGCGGGTGTCGCCGTTCGCACGCAGAAACCTCAAAAGCGAAGGTCGCTTCACAAGGCAGAGGGTTGAATCCTAAAACCCAAACGCGAAGCCCTAAGCCAGGGTTGAGGGTTTAGGGTTTAGGGCTTAGGGTTTAGGGTTTAGGGTTTAGGGTTCAGGGTTTAGGGTTTAGGGTTTAGGGTTCAGGGTTCAGGGTTCAGGGTTCAGGGTTCAGGGTTCAGGGTTCAGGGTTCAGGGTTCAGGGTTTAGGGTTTAGGGTTTAGGGTTTAGGGATCCGGCTGTAGTTTGAAGCAGGCCCAGGCGCATCAGCCGACGTGAGGTAAGCGCCGGGTAGTGGAGGAAGTAGGCCAAGCACATCTCATCCTCCCAGGGCTTTTCAGGGTTCAGAGTTTTAGGTTTAGGGTTTCGGGTTTAGGGTTTAAGGTTTAGGGTTTAGGGTTTAGGGTTTAGGGTTTAGGGTTTAGGGTTTAGGGTTTAGGGTTTAGGGTTTAGGGCTTGGGGTTTAGGGCTTAGGGAGAGTTCAAGGGTAGTGAACAGCCGGAAAAAAGTTCTTCGAGTTCCCATTGGGTTGCAAGCAGCACACCGAATTCCTAAGGAGATTGAACTCTACAACCTGCGAGGCAACAATATTCCTAAAAGGAGGCTGGAGACTGGACCCAAGAGGAACCTAGGAACAAAAAAGGGGTGCACTTTTTGGTTTAAAGGGGCTTGTAAGGGAACCTAAACCCTAAACCCTAAACCCTAAACCCTAAACCCTAAACCCTAAACCTCAAAAAATGGAGTAAGGGCCTACTCTGGGTCCTAGGAGAGAGCACAGAGGTGAGGGGGTGGAAGGCGAAGCGTTGAGACTTGGAATGGGGTTTAGGGTTTGGGTTTAGAGTTTAGGGTTTAGGGTTTAGAGTTTCGGGTTTAGGGTTTAGGGTTCAGGGCTTAGGGTTAAGGGTGTTGGGTGTAGGGTGTAGGGGTTTAGGGTTTAGGGTTTAGGGTTTAGGGGGTTTAGGGGGGTTTAGGGGGTTTAGGGGGTTTAGGGTATTTGGGGTGTTTCGGGTAGTTTGTGTATTTTGGGTATTTGGGGTTTGTATTGCACACATAGAGGGATTGTTGAGGGTTTCGGCCTTGTTCCGCTCCCAGCCCTCTTCTGGCGTGTGACCCGATATCCCCCAATCTCAGGGACGTCGAGAGCTCTGCTCGGGGTTTAGTAGGGCTTTTGCTGGAATAGGGCTTGAGGGGTTTGAGGGTTTTTTGGGGGTGGCGCGGTGGTTGAAGGGCTTCCGGGTTTAGGGCTCAGGGCTCAGGGTCTTCGGGCTCAGAAGGGCATCAGATGGCTTTCGGGTGTTAGTCTTCGGGCCTTTCGGGATCCCAGGGTCCAACTTGCCCCATGAACTTCCACACCCCAAACCCCAAACCCGGCAAATTTTCGGGTTTCGGGTTTTGGGCCTAGGTTTTAGGGCTTAGGGCCCCCGAACCCTGGCTCCTGCGTGAAGTCGCCGAAGTTTGTGGGCTCCGTCCTGCCGGAGGTGTCGTAGCCTTCCAGGGGTACACATCGAGACTTCGGCATGCTGAGTGGAAGGGGGGAGGGGGGAGGCGGGGTGGGGGGGTTGGCGGGTGGGGAACGTTGTGATGGGGATTCCAGAAAGCGCGAGATAGGGCCTGTGAGAACTCCAAAACTGGACCCCAAGACACAAAGATCCACGCCCAAACCTTCATGCCGAAGCCCCAGACCCTAAACCCTAAACCCTAAACCCTAAACCCTAAACCCTAAACCCTAAACCCCCTCAAAGTTGTTCAGACCATCTGAGGCGGAGTGGCTGCACGTCAGGGTGAGCTCGTCGCCCCTCTTCAGCTTCTTCACCGAGGAGCCCTGACAGGGATCTTGAGCCTTTAGGGTTTAGGGTTTCGGGTTTAGGGTTTAGGGTTTAGGATTTAGGATTTAGGGTTTAGGGTTTAGGGTTTAGGGTTTAGGGTTTAGGGTTTAGGGTTTAGGGTTTAGGGTCTAGGTTAGCTGTACATCTTGGGGTGTTCCCCCTTATAATACTAGCAGTCCCCTGAATAGGGATTAGAGTAGCCCCCTATGATCATCCCTATGAAGGACTGATTACTAGCGAACAAAGACAAAAAGAAAACAAATACAAGTAAAACATGTCAAATACTAACATGAAGGAAAGCCTTTAGGGTTTAGGGTTTAGGGCTTAGGGTTTAGGGTTTCGGGTTTAGGGTTTAGGGTTTAGGGTTTAGGTTAGCTGTACATCTTGGGGTGTTCCCCCTTATAATACTAGCAGTCCCCTGAATAGGGATTCGAGTAGCCTCTATGATCATCCCTATGAAGGACTGATTACTAGTGAACAAAGACAAAAAGAAAACAAATACAAGTAAAACATGTCAAATACTAACATGAAGAAAAGCCTTTAGGGTTTAGGGTTTCGGGTTTAGGGTTTAGGGTTTAGGGTTTAGGGTTTAGGGTTTAAGGTGTAGGGTGTAGGGTTTAGGGTTCAGGTTAGCTTTACCTCTTGGGATGTTCCCCCTTGTACTAACAGTCCTGAACAGGGATGATAGTACCCCCCCTATTATCATCCCTACCAAGGAGTGCATATAGTGAACAAAGACAAAAAACCAAAAAACACAAGTAAAACATCTCATGATACAAATACTAACATGTAAAAATAGGGCAATAAAATTTAAAGTACTACACTACAGACAACGCATCATGAATATGAGGATCAATACCCGTACTTGTCATTTTCACTGGAGAGACTACATATGCTCATATTGTTGCTTTCTTGTATTTATACGAGCCAGTTAACAGGCTTAGAGTTTGTGGTTTTCGGCCCGAGGAATCCAAAGCCTGCCGAAGAAGGCTTGCAAGGATCTAGGGAATTTAGGGCTTCGGGCTTGAGGTTTAGGGCATTTAGGGCGTTTAGGGTGTTTAGGGCGTTTAGTGCGTTTACGGTGTTTAGGGCGGTGAGGGTGTTTAGGGCATGGGGGGGAGTTAGGGCTTAGGGCTTCGTAGGTCCCTCTTGCAAGTACGTTCCGTGTTCTCCGCGCCCAGGTCCGTCGCCATAGTTGGCCCAAACAGCCGTGAACCCTAAACCCCCAAACCCTAACCCCAAACACTAAACCCTGACAACCCCCAAAGTAGAACCCTGTGTTTTGTTTTTTCTGTTGGGGGGGAGGGGGTGGGGGCAGGGGCAGGGACCCGTAATCCCCAATTTTACACGACTTAGCCGGAGGCCCCTATAAGTCGCAGAATGGGAAATCTCGCGCCAAAGAAACCCTCGAGAACCCTAAGCCCCCCCAAGCTCCAGGGGTATATTTAGGGAGTGCCCGAAACCTTAAACCCTAAACCCGAAACCCTAAACCCTGAACCCAGAACCCTAAACCCTAAACCCTATTGCCGAAGCCTCCAGAGACTGGTGGTTGAAGTCGTAGATCTTCTCGCGGCGCATTTCTCCGACATACCTCTGGGGAGGGCTGAGGGTGTAGGGTTTTAGGTTTTAGGGGAGGGTTGAGGGTTTGGGGTTTAGGGTTTAGGGTTTAAGGTTTAGGGTTTAGGGTTTACCCCCTCATAACTCCAAAAGAATGCAAATTCCTCTCATAGGAGCGTTTGAGGTCCAGGGTTTGGGGTTGAGGGTTTAGGTGTGAAACACGGGAGACGAGATTATGTTTATAAGCATACTGCGAGTATCTTCACCTCGGCCTTCGGATGGGTTGACTATGGACCCCCTATATAAACCCCAAACCCTAGACCTGCCGTAGACGCTCTCAAAAACAATCTTGGGAATCTCTTGGGGCGATGATGTGGCGATGCACAGCATTTAAAAAGTAAAGCAACAAGGCATGGCATTGTTTATGTACAGTGCCACGTTAGAGTACATCCCTTCGTACATGACCGCATACTTGTAGCAGAAAACAATGGCACACTTGATTACCGCATGCTTCTACCCTATTCCGGGATCCTTCCTGCAGCGTGGGGAACGGAAAGGGTCCATGATTACAACCCCCCCCCCCCCATATGCCATAATGTGGACCCGGGCGCTCGCCGTTGCGGGTGACATGGACGCTCAGCTCCTTGCCCACGAGGTGCGCGTGGTGCATCACCCCGAGCACTGTGATCTCCTCTACTCCCGAACCGTCCAGGAAGTAAGGGAGGAAAGGAAGGGGAGAGGACCTGTAAGACAGAAGCCTTGTCAGCTCAGCCGCAGACGTCCACAGATCTCCACGGATGTCGACACTGCGGGGGTGTATAAAAAAAAACAAAAAAAAACGCACGAGCCGAATACTACGGGGCGACGCTCTGGGCAGATGGGGTCCTCCACAGGCCATTGGTTGGTGCACTCGGCTGGCAGGACGGCGCTGGGGATGCTGATGTTGGCCACTCCCGGAGGCAGCGGCTCGCGCTGCATGGGGCTTGCCCCACCCACGAGGCCAAAGGTCTCGGCATCGTGGGTGCGGAGGCTCGGGGCCAAGGAGAGTCGCACTCCGCTGCTGTCCTGGCTTGCTCTGCTTAAGGAGCTCAGCAGAAGTTGAGCATCAACTTAGGAGGCTCGAGGTGCAGCCAAAAAGGATGTTGGGCTCCTGAATCTTAAACTGCGGACCAAGCATCTCGCACTCCTGAGTCCAGGTTGGGGTTGTAGTAGTGCACCTGCAGGGCATACCAGCGAGCGCCGTTGCCAAGGGGTATCCCCACGTTCTCCGGCAGCACCAAGTCCTCGCCTCCCACGGCCCAGGGCCACTTCGTGGTTTGGCATCCTCGGAGCATGCGCTCGCAGTTGCCGATGACCTGGTGATGCCTCAGAGGTGCCGGGGGAAGTTCAAAGAAATATCTCCACATGCTCCCGATAGGCTCAGGTTGAGGTCTCTTTGTATCAAGGCTTCAGGGGGGGGGGGGGGGGCAGGGGTTTGGGGCTCGGGCCTCCCAAAAAAAGCTACTCTTCATCCCGGCCACGTGAAGTTGTTGTCGGCAGCGGCCTGATCGGAGCACTCGTAGAGGATCATGTGGTGGACATACTGCCGAGAAGCAGAGTCCAGCACAGGAGAGAACATAGCCGCGTGATGCTTGTCGGAGAAATTACGGCTGCTTGGCAGGACTTCCATCAGGTCGAACATGCTACAGATGTAGGGGTTCTTCCGATCGGCCCCGCCGTCACCCAGAACCTGCAACATGAGCAAGAAAGCGATGCGACGGCCGTCTCCCCCCTAAACAAAACATCCCGCGACACCTACCCCGAGTTGAGGGTTTCGGGTCTTTTGGAGTCTAGGGAGTCTGGGTGTTGAGGGTGCTGGGGGTGTTGGGGCTCAGGGGGGGCAATTGGGCTTCCGAGGGGCCACGGCGACGTTGGGCATGGTGAGCTCGGCTGCGTCGTAGGTGCTCATGTCCGGCGGCGGCGCAGGCGGTCCTGCCACCTCGCTGGACGTGGGGCGCTCATGTGGCTACAGTCCGGGACGGCTGAAGGGTAGCCGGCTACATTATGGGACAGCTGAAATGGGGCCATAGGAGGAGTTCGTTGAGGGCCCCAAAAAAACCCAGAGGTCTGAGCATGGGTCCTGCCGTCAATCCCTTTGACAAGTGGCAAGGTTTGTGTGGAACTGCCCTCGCTGCGTGTGGTAGCCAAAGCTGTGGGTATCGCCCAAGGCCCAGTGCATGAACATGCCCACATCTTCCATGGCGTACCTTTGGATCCAAGGATTCGGAGCCATTCGGAGCGTGCGGGGCGTTCAGGTTTGCTGCTCCTTCAAAGACGCCTGTGTGGAGAATAGATCACAAGGGCTTCGACAAGAAGACCCCAACATCATCGAATCCGAAACCCATGAGGACTTCCCCCCTCGTTGAAGGCCCTCCGAATCCTCCATCCCAGACGTGCGCCTCTCGCCCGCTTTGCAGGAGCGTGCAGGGAGCAGGACCCCCCAGCTGGTATGGCCGCCGGCCTTGCAGGGATGAGGTTAGAGACATCCAAGCGCTCCGGGTGTAGGGTTGTAGGGTCTTCTTTGGCTTTACGGCCTAGGGCTTTGAGGGTCCTCAAAGGGCCGTTCAGCACATCACCCCTTGAACATTCTGAGCCTCGGAGGCAAAGAAGAGCAGCACCTCCTGAGTTTCCTGGTTCTAGGGAAGGGTTTCGGGTACACAAACGTGCTGAGCCGTGGGCGCTCTAAGCTAGGGCTTAGCGCTTAGGGCAGTTCAGGGCTGGGGCAAGCCCTAAACCCTAAACCCTAAACCCTAAACCCCAAACCCATTTCATACCTCAGATGAGAGGTCTCCTGGAGCAGCGGCATCGTGTAGTCAGTGGAATAGCGCTCCTCTGCCACAAACTCGTCCTCCACCTCTGCTGCGGTACTGCCTTCTAGACCCTATAAGCCCTAGGCCCGAAACCCTGTTCCTGGACGAAGGCTCTGAAGAGCTCTAAACCCCTAAACCCCCTCTACCCTGAAAGTATAAGGCCATGAGATCCGAACCCCGACCCGAGAACCCCGTGCCCTTAACTCCACAAAAGCTGTGAACGGCCAACGTGCCTTGCGCACCACGATCTGCTGGGCACCCTTCATGCCACCGTTGCCGCCGATGCCGAGGGCGCTCCACCCGGTGTGATTCTCGGCATACCTGCATTAGCACCATGAAGGTCGTTGCTTGTCTTTCGGAACTATGTGTATATTTTATATATGAGCGACGGACACAATTACTTTACACGGTGGGAGGTCACAGGATACCACGTTATCGCTTTACTTGGGGCCCATATCGCTTTACATACTATGGGACTGCGGGACCACATCAAGCAAAACAGGTTGAAATGTGGTAACTAAGGTTATCGCTTTAGGTGGGGCCCATATCGCTTTCTATGGTGTACTGATGTTCGCAACAACTCGTGTCCACCGTAGTACTGGCTTCAAGAAACATAATTTTGGCAGGCGCTCATATGAAGGCTTAGGGCCTAGGGTTTAGGAGTTTTTCTCGAGTAAAGTCGAAGGTTTTGTGGAGATGTCGGGGCTCAAGCCGGACCCTGGAAGCAAAGAGAAACGGGGCATACTCAGCTGTCGCACAGATGCATACCCAGCTTCATGTAGTCGCCATCTGCGCTCGGGCCGAAATACATCAGCAGCCCCGGCTGCAACTCCTGGCAGAAGGGGAAGTTCTCCTGCATGAAGATGTCGCCGCTGCTGTAGCACGCCGCCGCTGCGCTGCCTGCTGGCAGGGCCGCGAGGAGCACCGCCCATGGCCACCCCGCCATCTTGGGAGGACTTCTGAGGACTTCGGGGAGCGGAGGCTCCTCGCTTCGACGACTCTGCAGATGGCTGCCAAATCGCGCAGGCTTTTCGGGGGCCCACAACGAGCCCCCAGTGGCAGGCTTTCAGCTGCGGTCCCCCCCTCATGACTTTTAAGGGTTTAGGGTTGAGGATTTTTTGTTTAGGGTTCCCAACAACAGAACAAGGCAGAAGGGTAGGGAACCATACTAAGGGCCCGTGGTTCCAACCTTATAAGATAACTCCGCCCCAATAAAATGAAGAAAACAACTGTGAGAAAAACATCCTCAGCACCTCCAACCCCCCCGCCAAAGTGCTGCCTGGCTCGTCTTCGGGACGAACTCTGTGGCCGCCGCTCTCAAGCCGGACCTGAGTTGGGAGTTGAGAACCTTTCGGGCAGACTGTGGGCGCCTCTAAAGATGGAGGGGGGATCTGGAAAGGAACATGCCTTGGAGGCTGCCGGTGCTGGTGCCTTCAAGGGCAGTTCGACGCTCCCTGTGTCGTATTGCCAATCGGCCACTGCAGGGTCCGCAGTTTTTGCCCCTTTGCCGCGGTCGCAAGGGCTGTGCCGCATCCCCAAGCAGGTGGGGGTGTGACTTTTGCGGCACGCAAAGACCCTCCAGAACTCTCTGCTGGAGTTGCCTTTGAAATGCTGCCGGGGGGGGGGGGGGGCTGCTCTTTTTTCCACAAATCCAAAGTGCATGCAGGTGGCATCGGGCTTTTGGGAGACAGGTCCTCCTCACCGGATACTTCACAAACCCCGACTCGAGATACCAACCCCTGGCAAACACAACACCGACCAAAATAGGCTTCACAACCCCTAAACCCCTAAACCCCTAAACCCCTAAACCCCTAAACCCCTAAACCCCTAAACCCCCGAACTCCTAAACCCGTAAACCCTAAACCCTAAACCCTAAGACCCTAAGACCCTCCCCCACCCAGCGCACAGGCTGTGGAGAGGGCTGAGGGCCCTGCATGCGGCCCGTGCTGGCAGCAGGATTCTGGCAGGGGGCAGCTTTCTAGCTTGTGACCCCCCCCAGCCCTAAGCCCTAAGCTCTAAACCTAAACCCTAAACCCTAAAACCCTAAACCCTAAAACCCTAAACCCTAAACCCTAAACCCTAAACCCTAAACCCTAAACCCTAAACCCTAAACCCTAAACCCTAAACCCTAAACCCCAACCCTTAACCCCTAAACGCTAAACCCTAAACCCTAAACCCACAGCCCCAATTCCTAACTTGGTTAAAGGGCGTGTCTTTCAAGGGATTTTGTGGGGTGGGCGTGAGGGTTTTGCAACTCTGAAGCCATGGAGGGCTGGGGCCAAGACTTAAACCCGAGCCGCAGCAACGCTTTCAAGTTAACGCTTTTTTGGTGTTGGGTTCAGATGGGCGTATAGGGTTTTGGGGCGATAGGATTGCAGTATGACCTGGAAGAAGTATCTGTTCTCCCAGGCACACCCCTGGCTTGTGCTCAGACATTGCGGATGATTGCAAAGTTCTCTCCATTCGTCCCCAGATTCACACAGTTGCGGTGCTTGGTGGTGATGAAAGAAAGGAGCCCGTCCTCATGAAACCCAGAAAAAAACCCTACAAGTAAGCCCCAAGCCTTGAGCCATGGAAAGACATCCTTCAGTCCACAAAGGCGCTACTCCACCCACATGCCCTGATGAAACCCCGAAGAAACCTGCAGAACCCGGCAAACCACACAGTACTCCTGGAAAAACCCAAAAAAAAGGCCTAAACCTTAAACCCGACGCCCTAAAAATCCTAACCCTGAACCCTAAACCCCAAGAAACCCGAAGGGAACAGCAAGAAGCCCCCTGCCTTGAGGCACTGTTTTGGGGCTGGTTACCTCAGATAAGAGGAACCTGGAACCCAAAAAACAAAAAACAAAAAAACAAAAAACCGGAAAAAAGTCCCTAAACCCCTAAACCCCTGAACCAAACAGCAGAAGCCCCCCATTCCCTTCAGGACTTCACCCTAAACCCTAGACCTGGACCCTAAACCCTAGACCCTAAAACCCTAAACCCTAAACCCTCAAACACCTCCGGGAGAGGTCCGTCGCCCCGTGCAAGGGTGAGCTTGATCAGCTGCCTGCTCGCGACTTGGGGCGGGGGCGAGGACGGGGTGGGGGGATTTAGGGTTTTGCAATTTGGGGATTTAGGGTTTTGGGATTTAGGGTTTCGGGTTTAGGGTGTTCGGGTTTAGGGTTTAGGGTTTAGGGGTTAAGGGCATTGAGGGCTTAGGGTTTATTCGAGGTGTGCATTGATTTTATTTTGTTATCGTTTGGGTTTAGGGATTATTTGGCAACAAGAGACTAAGGGCCCTCCTGCATAGATGAGTGCGTCGTGTAGGGCGGCCGGATTTTTGAACATTCGTATGACCTGAGTTTAAGAATTGTTTCTGAGCGAGAGGTCCGCAAAACAAGGGCTTGGCCCTAATCGATGTGTTCTGAGGTGAGTGGGTAAGGAAATGGCGCTCCTCACCCACGAAGGTCCCCCAAGCCGCCGGAGACCCCCAAAGCCAACCTCCCCAAACCCTAAACCGGAAAACCTAAACCTAAACCCTGAACCCGAAACCCTACACCCTGAACCCGAAACCCCAAAACCCGCCACCAGGTCTCCCAGCTTTTCCCTACACTCATCCAGCATCTTGTCCGGATCGTAGGACACGCTGTTGACGCCTTGGGGTCAACGCGGGTGCAGGGGAGGACAAGTAAGCCCCTGGAACCCGAAACCCAATACGATGAAGGGCCTACAGGGTTTGGGGTTTCGGGCTTTGGGTTGATGTTTCGGGGGCTTTGGGGTTGTAAGGTAAGCTTTCGCTCGGCAAGCTCGTCGTGCACGCACCACCGGTTCGGGCCGCAGCGACACCCTAAACCTTGAGCTCCCCTGGTTGAACCCGGTGCTGAGCACCATAAACTCCCCAAACCCCAAGCTCCCTGAATCCTAAATTCCCTAAACCCTAAGCTCCCTAAACCCTAAACCCCAAACTCACCCTAAACAAACCTGAAAACCTTCAGCTCTAGGCAAACCAAAGCCCAGAACCCTAAACCCAGAACCCTAAACCCTAAACCCTAAACCCCGACTTCATCCCACTCTCTCAGTCCGAAGCTCCCAAAGCCCCCTGTAAGCCCTGCAGGGGGCCCTTAAGGGAGTTAAAGAGGCCTGAGAGCCTAAACTTGGGATGTTTCCCCGGGAGCATCCTAAGCTTGAACCCTCTACCGACATATCATATCCGAGAAGCAAAACAACATAGTTAAGACCCAAACGGAAAAGAGCTCTTGTTCCGCGGGCTTTTCGGTCCTGACGGCCTAAACCCGAAACGGCCTCAGGGCTTCAGACGGAGGCTCGCGCAAAATTTCATAACTCGAGCTTCGGGCAACAAAGTCCTTACAGGCCCTAAACCCCGCAACACAAAATAGATCTTGCGACCATAAAATGAAACCAACCCCGCACTTAAAGCCGCGGCTACCACCCGCAAAACATTCATTGAGCCTCTAAACCCTAAACCTAAACCCTAAACCCTAAACCCCCCTTGAACTCTCAAAGGCCCAAAGAAGCCCATGAAACCCTCAGAGGCCCCAAAGAAGCCCCTCTCAAAAACCGAAACACCCGCAAAGCCGGGGCTGAGGCTGATGATGCGGTCGCCGGGAAGCACCATGCGCTCCGGGTTGAGGTCTCCCTTAGACCGTCTGATTTTGGGAAGGAGGGGGGTTTGGGGAGAGTTGAAGGCGTAGCGATTTGGGGATGTCAGGGGCTTAGGGCTTTATGAGGGGATGATTCGTTGCGTAGGGTGGGCTTACGAGGTCTGGAGGCTTTAAGGACTTCGGGCGGCTTAAGAAGTCTAAGAAGTCTGGGGAGCGTATCGGCTGCATAGAGTTTCAAAGCTCGACAGTTCTAAAGGTGCCTAGGCCCTAGGGACATTCAGGGCTTAGGGGGGGGGGGGGGCATGAGGTTGAAGAAGTCTAGGCCTTAAGGGCGCAGAGGCGCGGGATGGCACGGGTGCGCGCCGTTTGCGGGGTTGTCTTTGGCAAAGTGAAGCAGGTGGAACAAATTTAGGGACCTGATGGCTAGCGGAGGAAAGCCCGTAATACTGGATGTGATGTATCACGAAGCTGCCAAAACCCTGCAATTCGCGAAGCCTCGGAGCTTCGAATCAGGTGCTCCTCCTGCTTTGGGGAATCCAGTGTGTCAGTGAGCCCTAAAACCCTAAACCCCAAACCCTAAACCCGAAACCCTAAACCCCAAACCCCAAACCCCAAACCCTAAACCCCCGGAAAGGCCCTACATGAGCTCATGACCCTCCTTTGAATTGGGGTGGCAACTCCTCAGTCTTGAGGGCCCTCGGTGCCTGAGCCCCCCCCCCCCCAAAGAAACTGACCCAAGGGCCGGGCGCACTGCCTGGCACAGAGGGTCTTTGGGGCCTTTAGGGCCTTTAGGGCCTTTAGGGCCTTTAGGGCCTTTAGGGCCTTTTGGGCCTTTAGGGGGGTTTAGGGTTGTTTAAGGGTTCAGGGCCTTCAGGGGTTTTAGGGCCTTTTAGTGGGGTTAGGGGGTTTAGGGTCTCGGATTCTTGGGGGGCGCGGGGGAGGGGGATAAAACCTGTTGGGAAATGGCTCTAGAACGATCTGTGACTCTCTGTACGCATGGCCTAGAGTTTTGGGTGTTTAGGGTGTTTAGGGTTTAGCTTGTAGGGCTTAGGGCTTAGGAATTACAGCCCTAAACCTTCCGAACCAACCCCCTCGCAGGCGCCTGTTGAACGCCTCAACGGCTCCATCTGCGTTGATCCCTTTCACGAGGAGCACCTGAATGGGGGCGGGGGGGCGGGGTTATGACACTTGAGAGGGTTTAGGGGTGGAGGGGTTTAGGGGTCTTCAGGGGTCTGGTGGTTGAGGGGTTGAGAGGTTTACGGGTTTTCAGGTTCGGGGGTTGAGGGGTTGAGGGGTTGAGGGGTTGAGGGGTTGAGGGGTTGAGGGGTTGAGGGGTTGAGGGGTTGAGGGGTTGAGGGGTTGAGGGGTTGAGGGGTTGAGGGGTTGAGGGGGTGAGGGGTTGAGGGGTTGAGGGGTTGAGGGGGTGAGGGGTTGAGGGGTTGAGGGGTTGAGGGGGTGAGGGGTTGGGGGTGAGGGGTTGAGGGGTTGAGGGGTTGAGGGGTTGAGGGGTTGAGGGGTTGAGGGGTGAGGGGTGAGGGGTTGAGGGCGGGTGAGGGGTTGAGGGGTTGAGGGTTGAGGGGTTGAGGGGTTGAGGGGTTGAGGGGGTGAGGGTTGAGGGGTTTGGAGGTTGAGGGGTGAGGGGTTGAGGGGTTGAGGGGTTGAGGGGTTGAGGGGTTGAGGGGTTGAGGGGTTGAGGGGTTGAGGGTTGGGGGGTGAGGGGTTGAGGGGTTGAGGGGTTGCGGGGTTGAGGGGTTGAGGGGTTTGAGGGGTTGAGGGGTTTGAGGGGTTGAGGGGTTGAGGGGTGAGGGGTTGAGGGTTGAGGGGTTGAGGGGTTTGAGGGGTTGAGGGGTGAGGGGTTGTTGAGGGGGTGAGGGGTTGAGGGTTGGGGGTTGAGGGGTTGAGGGGTTTGAGGAGTTGAGAGGGCCTCGAAGCCCTCAAAGCCCTGAGCCCATATGCACGCGTTTCCGCGTAATCGACCCCCCCCCCCCCCAATGGTTTCCCCAACCCCCCCCCCCCCCGTGCCAAACCCTGCCTGCTAACCCTAAAACACCACGGAGCACGGGGGAGGACAGAGAAACCTCAGCCTAATTCCAGGAGGGAGAAGGGTAAACCCGAAACCTTAGCCGCTTTAACCCTGAAACCTGAACCATAAACTCAGCACGAACCACAGGGGGAGAGGGGAAACCGTAAACCTACCATTACCCCAAACCTTGAACCCTGATTAAACTCTAAACCCACAATGAACCAATAGATCAGAGTGAAAATCCTGAACTCTACAGCCTAACCCTAAACCCCTGAACCACAAACCCATAAAGGGGAGAACCCCATAAGGGGGGGGGGGAAGGGGGGAGGGGGGGGGGGGGGGAAGGGGGGGAAGGGGGGGGGGGGGGGAGGGGGGGAGGGGGGGAGGGGGGGGAGGGGGGGAAGGGGGGGGCAGATATGCTGGCCCACATAAACCCTAAACCCTAAACTCCCTATAAACTCCCTAAACTCCCTAAACCCAAGCCCTAAACCCGAAGCCCTAAACCTAAACTCCCCAACTCCCTAAACTCCCTAAACCCCCTGAACCCCCTAAACCCTAAGCCACAAACCCTAAACGCTAAACTCTCAACTCCCTGAACTGCCTAAACTCCCTAAACTCCTTAAACTCCCTAAACTCCCCAAACTCCTTAAACTCCCTAAACTCCCTAAACTCCCCAAACCCCCTAAACCTCCTAAACCCCCTAAACCCCCAAAACCCCCTAAACCCCGTAAACTCCCTAACTCCCTAAACTCTAAACCCTAAACTCCCTAAAAAAACGAAAATCCCTCGTGCGGACGGCCTTCTGGCTCTCTACCGGCTCCACACTGAGGCCCAACTCCTGGGAGGCTCACTGGAGGAGAAAGGCCACTTGAGGGACCCTCAACCCTATACCCTAACCCTATACCCTAAACCCTCAACCCTGGGCTGAGGGCTCTCAGGAGGAGCCTTTCCTGCTGTTCATTCACGGCGATTACCGGTGTCTAAGGAGTGCTTCAACTGCGCGCCCTGAGGCGAGCAAGCTCAAACCTCCACCAAAGGGGGCCCGGAAGTGCCTCGAGGGGCTCATGGACCCGACACGATCTCTTTTTGCGCTCTAAACCCTATAAACCTCATGACGAACCCGAAACCCTACACCCCGAGAGCAACCCTAAACCCTCAACCCCATGACCCTAAACCCTAAACCCCTAAACCCCGAAACCCCGAAAGCAAGCCTCATGACTTCCCGAAGCAAGGCACAGTGTCATCTGCTTTCCGGAGGGTCAGGGAGAAGACCTGGGCAGCGTTCAGGGTTAGGGTTGAGGGTGGAGGGCTGAGGGCTGAGGGCTGAGGGCTGAGGGCTGAGGTCTGAGGGTTGAGGGTTGAGGGCTGAGGGTTGAGGGCTGAGGGCTGAGGGCTGAGGGTTGGGGGTTGAGGGTTGCGGGTTGAGTGCTGAGTGTTGAGGGTTAGGGTTGAGGGTTGAGGGTGGAGGGCTGAGGGCTGAGGGCTGAGGGTTGAGGGTTGAGGGCTGAGGGCTGAGGGCTGAGGGCTGAGGGTTGAGGGTTGAAGGTTGAGGGTTGAGTGCTGAGTGCTGAGTGCTGAGTGTTGAGGGCTGAGGGCTGAGGGTTGAGGGTTAGGGTTGAGGGTTGAGGGTGGAGGGCTGAGGGCTGAGGGTTGAGTGCTGAGTGCTGAGTGTTGAGGGTTAGGGTTGAGTGCTGAGTGCTGAGTGTTGAGGGTTGAGCGTGGAGGGCTGAGGGCTGAGGGTTGAGGGTTGAGGGTTGAGGGTTGAGGGTTGAGGGTTGAGGGTTGAGTGTTGAGTGCTGAGTGCTGAGTGTTGAGGGCTGAGGGCTGAGGGTTGAGGGGTGAGGGCTAAGGGCTGAGGGTTGAGGGCTGAGGGCTGAGGGTTGAGGGCTGAGGGCTGAGGGCTGAGGGTTGAGGGTTGAGGGTTGAGTGCTGAGGGTTGAGGGTTGGGTGCTGAGGGTTTGGGGCTTAAGGTTTGGGGCTTAGGGCTTTGGGCTTAAGGTGGCAGCATGGCAATCCGAAACCCCAAGCCCAAAACCAAACCGCCCCACGGGGGCCCGGGCCGATGGGGTCTGTGCCCGGGCGCTGTAAGGCGCCTGCTTTCTTTGGGGTTTGGGGTTTAGGGTTAGGGTTTTAGGGTTTAGGGGTTAGGGGTTAGGGGTTAGGGGTTAGCGTTTAGGGTTCAGAGGTTCAGGGTTTTGGGTCTAGGGTTTATGGAGTTCAAGGGGGTTGAGGGAAGTCCGAGGGGTTGATAGGGGGTAGTAGAGGATTTCACGTCGTTGGGGTTTAGGGGGGGAAGGCTGCCTAGGTTACCACCCAAACCCCAAACCCCCACAATTACAGGATCGCGGAACCTCCGACAACCCCGTGAGCCTCGTTGACCGAGAGGGACGTCGCCAAGGACAGCGGGGCGGGAAGCCTCCGGAATGCACAAGGACCCCTCAACTGGGGAACAGTCCTCGACTTCGCACCTGCCTATGTCGGTGAAAGCTATACAGGGTTCGCGGGTTCAGGGGTTGAGCGCTTCTGAATCCCCTTACCGTGAATCCGTTAAGGTACCCCAACACCACATTCCAGATACAAACGGTTGGCGCACCGGCCGATGCTGTGGTTTTCTGTCTTCTTCTTATGACGGGCACGTTTCTCGTCAATGCCGCAATGACCATTGCCCATAATTCCTCTGAACCCTAAACACCTAACCCCAAACCCCAAACCCTAAGGATGGGGTGACCCAGCCGCGGAAAAGGCCGTGCCTCAAACGTGAGCCATTCCTCAAAATTCAACACATGACCAGCCACACCCACACGCCCTTGACTCGCAGGTGCGATTGTGTGATGATGATGGGGGCTCCAACGCCCTAAACCCTAAACCCTAAACCCTAAACCCTAAACCCTAAACCCTAAACCCTAAACCCTAAACCCTAAACCCTAAACCCTAAACCCTAAACCCCACTCCAAACTATCAACTACGGCTCGGGCACAGCTTGGTGTCCCCAAGACGCCTGTGACGGCAGACTTCGCTTCACCAGGTCAACACAGGCCAAATAAGCCTCTAAGCCTCTAAACCCTAAACCCTAAACCCTAAACCCAAATGACCTTGAAAGGTGCTTCTGGACTTTGGCCTGGGCGCCGCATCTGCGCCAGGGCCAAACTCCGGCGTGTGGGAGGAGCTCAGCACCTGCTGCAAGCAGAGGCCAGGCGTGCCAAGTCTTTAGAGGCTATAGAGGGCCTTCGGAGGGGCTTCAGGGTTTAGGGTTTAGGGTTTAGGGTTTAGGGTTAGGGTTTAGGGTTCAGGGCCTTTCAGGGGGCCTTCAGGGCCTTCGGGGCCTTCAGGGCCTTCAGGGCCTTCAGAGGGTCTTCGGAGGGCCTTCAGGGCCTTCAGGGTCTTGGGGTTTCCTTGAGGGTTTCGGGTCGCGGGGTTGGTCTTGGGGGTCATGCTTTTTGGGTTCGCCCCTTTGGGGCTCATGGCCGGTCTTGGGCGGGGGTCCTTACACTCCTTGGGACGTTGGCCTTGCGGTTCACTAAGTCACGAAGGGTTTGGGGATTGGCAGAAATTCTTCAAAGTGATCGCATACGTGCGATCTTGATCTGATATCGCAATCACGTTGTGAAACTCGCTTGATTTGGGCAGTAAGGTTTGGGGCGTGTCGGCCTGTAGGGAGCCCCTCTCTTGCCTTATTCGCGCGCTGCTCCGCAACGCGCAGAAGCCCCCACGATGAACCCCAATTTCGGGCGTTTGAGGGTTTAGTGACGCAGGGATTTTACGGTTTGGGGACCTTGGGGGCTTTAGGGACTTTGGATTTTGGAGGTGTAGATGGGGGTGTAGGGGCCCGGCTTTAACAAAGGCCTCAAGCAAAACCCTAGAAACCCTGAAAACCCTAAACTCTCCTGGAGTAGCATTAAGACTCTATGGCCTGAGCTTGATGTTGGGAACCCAAGGACAACCCCTTCAAGACGCCCGCAAGCTCGCCCGCAGCCTTCGCTAGGGACAGGGGGGCACCGGCCGCGGTCCTCGGGAATGTTGGGGGTGCGGAAATTCTGACATTTTGGGGATTTTGGGGTTTAAGGTTCAGGGTTCAGGGTTTAAGGTTCAGGGTTCAGGGTTCAGGGTTCAGGGTTTGGGGGAAGGGTCTTTGGAGCTTGGAGTCCACCGAGCTTCCGCTGGGAGGGCTGCTTTGGGGTTCGAGGGGTCCAGGGATGGTCTGTGGGGTCTCCGAAGTCCCGGGATGTGGAGGCCTGGTTCGACTTCGCACTGAGGTATTAGGCCTTTGTAGGGGCCAAGACCTTTTCCGAGACCGCCCAATTCCCTTCGACCCAAAACTCGGAGAGAAGAGGGCTGCTGGGAGGCCCCCGCGCGAATGGAAAGGTGGGAACCTGCGAGCGGGATTCGGAGAAAAGGGAGCGTTGAGGGTTTGTTTGGGGGAACCCCTGAACCCTAAACCCTGAACCCTACATGAGGGTGTAGGGAGGCTCTGCGGTGTCAAGGGGAACTCTCGAAAGGTTGAGAGGTTGAGTGGTGGGTTGGGAAAAAGCTGCCAAAAACTTGACATGACGCCTCTTGCCACGTTCTTGGGTCCCGAATTGGGTGATTCCTTGTGCGATCCAGAGCAATTCTTAGAGTTCGAAAGTTCGGGGTTTTGTTGGGACCTTGGCTCCCGGACTGATGCCTCTAGGCCATTTTGTGGTGAGAAGTGCGTGCACGGGGCTTCGACTTCGCAGGGTTGAAGCTGGGCTTCAGGGGGTCCAAAACGCCCGTTGAAGTCCCTTAAGGTCCCTTAAGGTCCCTTAATGAAGGTCCCTTAAGGTCCCAACCTCCCCGAAGCCAAACCTCATGGCCGTAAGCGTTCAACGCCACCATTCCCGCCCTTCCTCCTCAAAAACAAAAACAGCAAGCCACACACAAGTAGATCCCTAAACCCTAAACCCTAAACCCTAAACCCGAAAAGCCCGCCTAAACCCTAAAACCCCAAAGCTCTGAACTCTGCTCTCCCCACATCTGGTCCCCCCTAAACCCTAAACCCTAAACCCTTAACCCTTAAACCCTTAACCCTAAACCCCCCAACAAAAGCCCTCCACCAGCCTCCGGTAGTGGCGAGTAGCCGGCCTTCGCTGCACGTGGCAGAGCTTCAGGGTGTTTGAGGCGTAGGGTTTAGGGTTCAGGGTTCAGGGTTCAGGGTTTAGGGTTTAGGGTTTAGGGTTTAGGGTTTAGGGTTTAGGGTTTAGGGTTTAGGGTTTAGGGTTTAGGGTTTAGGGTTTAGGGTTTAGGGTTGTAGATGCTGTGAAGGTTTGGATGCAGCAGCGGCTCGAATGCCTCGTCAGGTGCGAAGAGCAGTTCTGGCCCGATTGTGGAAGGCCATCTAATACTGGTCTGCCACCCCACGCCGCCCGAGGCGGCAAAACCACCCAAACCTATTCCTTTTAGGGTTTAGGCCTAAACTCGTGACAATCGCTTACTTTCCAAAAAAAAACCTTTCTGTGCACCCACCCTGCCTGGACCAGCCTGAGGCCCCCTGGTCCCTGGACACGCTGCGGCGAGGGGGTCCGGGTCCTCCTGCCCTGGGCCCTGGGGGTACCCCCCCACCTTCTGGCACAGCCATTTGCGGATTGGGGTATTTAAGGGACCAGTACTGGTAGACGTGTTCCGGTACCGGGCCCATCGTGGGTGCCACCGACCGGGCTGCAGGAGGCGGGCAAGCGACCTGGGTCGACTTTCGCCATAGACGTTGAAGGGCTTAAGCGCCGCCCCCCTTCTGTAGGAGGGCGGCCTAGGCCCGGAATTTAGGGTTTAGGGTTTTGGGTTTTGGGTTTCTACCCGAACACCCTTTATGGCCTTAAAGCCCCTACAGAGCTTGAGGGGCCTTCAAAGCTTCCAGGGACCCTTTGCGTCGCCTCCGGGGTGAAGCGGAACTATGGTGGTTGTAAGGTCGGGTTTCGGGTTTAGTGTTGAGGCTTAGGGCGAAGATCATCTCAATAACATACCATCATATACCATAAGCTACGATACTCTGCGAGGAGAAGCGAAAACATGCTACAAAAAAATGCACGATGCCTCAGGCTCAGGCTCGAGTATTCTGGGGTGTCGAAAGTCCAAAACCGCCACCCTCACAAAAAACAGAACGTGACGAAGGGCCTTGTGACGGTGCGATCTTACCGTGACAAAAGGGTGTTTTGCGGGCTCCGAAACCCGAACCCCCTAGACCCTAACCGCCAAGCTAACCCCCTAAACCCTAATTAAACCCTAAACCCTAAACCCTGAACCCTAAACCCTAAACCCTACACTATAGCTTGCTAACCAGCACCACCTGCTGCGCTGGCCTCTGCGTTGAGCGGATCGGACCTTGGGGAAGGAGCACCACGCCGGAAGCCCAATAATACAATGGACCGCACCTTATCTCCAAGATGTTTAGGGTTTAGGGTTTAGGGTTTAGGGTTTTGGGTTTTGGGTTTTGGGTTTAGGGTTTAGGGTTTAAGGTTTAGGGTTTAGGCTTTAGGGTTTAGGGTTTAGGGTTTAGGGTTTAGGGATGCCGAAGATGAGCAACGCCAAGCCTGACACGTCTTTTGCTTACTCAGAATGGAGTGTTTTGAGACATGCCACATCGTTCAGCTCTTCTGGCATCTTCTGTTTAGCCAAGATGAACGTGGGAAGAGTTTCGGGTGCCCGACCGCTGGGGCGTGATCTCATGCACGGAGTCCGTGCCCACGGTGGTGGGGGTCGAGAGGCCTCTCAGAGGCTCAGGAGGTTTGAGGGTTCAAGGGCTTAGGGTTTCAGGTTTGGAGCTTAGGGTTAAGAAGGGCTTAAGGGCTCAAAAGGGTGTAGGGCGTTGAGGGCTTAAGGCCTCAAGGGTTCAGGGCTCAAGAACACACCTTACTGAGCTCCACAGTCATCATTGTACGGCTGCTGGACCCTCCCCGGGTTTCATGGGCGGTACCTTTGTACTTTCTGGTTACCAGAAACTACAGAAGGAATAGGCTTCAACAGACACACCCCCCGATAAAAAGCTGCCCAACTATGTCGCCCAGACCCCCCCCCCAAAAAAAAAAAAAAAAACAGAAAGCCCTCAAAAGCCCTCACTCTCAACCTCCCCAAACTCGGCCCACAATCTCAAACACCAAACAGAAGAAGAAGAATCATACTCATAATGACAACCATACATCAGAAGAAGGAGAAGAAGAAGCCAAGCTCAACAATAAAGGCTCACAAAAGTCTAGGGTTTAGGGTTTAGACCCCCACCCTCCCCCCGCACACCCCGCCCAGCCTTGCGAGAGCTTGCCGTCGGGGACGCCCATGCCCAGCAGTGCCAGCTGGGAGGCCGCGAGCACCAGCATCTCAGCAGCGAGGGGTTTAGGGTTTAGGGTTTAGGGTTTAGGGTTTAGGGTTTAGGGTTTAGGGTTTGGGGTTTGGGGTTTGGGGTTTGGGTTTAGGTTTTAGGGTATTGCGGGGTTGGGTATTCAAGGTTTGGGTCTTATACGTCTTAGGGCTTTGGAGGTTTCGCGCGAACGTTCCAACCTCGATCTGGGCAAACTTCATCTCCCAACTAAGCCTGCAAACACCATCATCCTAAACCTTAATCCCTAAACTTCCCTAAACCCTAAACCCGAAACCCTAAAATCCCCAACGGCCCTGTCCCAGGTGGCGCAGAAGCGAAAGTCCCAAGCATGGGGCATTTTTCAACATCCCCAAAGATCCCCAAACATGCATCCTTTGCGAAAACGACAACCCCCCTAAAGGAACCGGTTAGGGTTTAGGGTTTAGGGTTTAGGGTTTAGGGTTTAGGGTTTCAAGGGTTTGGAGTTTAGGGTTTGTGGTTTAGGGCTTAGGGTTGAGGGTTTAGGGTTTAGGGTTTAGGGTTTAGGGCTTAGGGTCCTATTTTCGGAACCCCCCCCCTCACAAGTGCAACGAAGTCGTGGGGCTCCCAGATTTCCGTAACACGCATGTGCTTAGAGAACTGTTACTAGGGTCCTTATATTATTGGGTTCCTCAGAAAAAGGGTTCTTCAGGGAGGGGGCCCTAGGGACCAGAACCCTATAATTATACATACTCTTGGTACCACCATTCTATTCCTTCATCGTTCCAATGACTGTTCTTGTTGTGGTTCTTGTTGTTTTGTTGCAACTGTAGTGGCTACCATTCTTTCATGGCCGACCGTGACTCACCTCCATGCTTTTACGGGGGGGGGGGGGGGGCATTTGTTTCGGCTTCAGAACCTTCTTGTAAAACCTCTAAACCCACCAGAACCCTGAGAATCCCCGCTTAAGACGCCCAAAAACACCTCCGAGAAACCCCAAATCCCTCAACTCCCCCCCGCACCGCTCCTCCCCCTCAGAACCGACAAGTCCGCGCCTGCTTCAAGGACTCATGCTCCGTCTGCAGTGCTTCCTGTCGCTCCTTCAACCTCGAGGTTCACCACGGGGAGGGTCAGGGCTTAGGGAGGTTCACCACGGGAGGGTCAGGGTTTAGGGTTTAGGGTTTAGGGTTCAGGGTTCAGGGTTTAGGGTTTAGGGTTTAGGGTTCAGGGTTTAGGGCTTAGGGTTGAAGGTTCAGGGTTCAGGGTTTTGGGTTGAGGGTGATTGGTGGCTGCAGGGCTTTGGGAGGAACCCAGTGCTTGGGCTTCAGGGCTTAAAGGGGCTCAAAACAACTGCATTGGGAATTCGGCAAAACTTCGGATGGATTCCGAGCCCCGAAACCCCAAAGAGGGGAATGTGGGGGGAGTCCCACGTGCAAGCATCGGTCTCGAGGTGAAGGCCCTGAAGCCAGAAAGTCCACAAACACCCTACAACCCAAAACACAAGCCAACAGTCCCAAATCAGGGCTAAAGGTTTCCCTTTGAAGGACGGTTTAGGGTGCAATCCCCTCCCCCAAAAATATTAAAACCCCGCCCCTACCCCCTAATATTAAATACCCCCCCCTATACGATAATAACGAAAACTGGGAGTACTTAATATTCGAGGGTAGAAGGGGGGTCTAGTATGAGGGTTTCCGAACTTAGGGGGTGCCTTATTGGGGTCCTTATTATTAGGGAATCCTACTATTTGGCCTAAACCCTAAACCCTAAACCCTAAACCCTAAACCCTAAACCCTAAACCCTAAACCCTAAACCCTAAACCCTAAACCCTAAACCCTAAACCCTAAACCCTAAACCCTAAACCCTAAACCCTAAACCCTAAACCCTGACCCTAAACCCTAAACCCTAAACCCTAAACCCTAAACCCTAACCCTCAACCCTGAACCCTGAACCCTGAACCCTAAGCCCCCATATTTGGGGGAAGGGATTTAGGGGCGGGGGGGCTGAGGACCCGCACTGGCGGAGCTCCGAAACGAGCTGGTCCGTCTTGCTCTGCTGCTTCTGCTGCACCTTTGGGAGGTTAGGGTTTTAGGGTTTCAAGGGTTTGGAGTTTAGGGTTTGTGGTTTAGGGCTTAGGGTTGAGGGTTTAGGGTTTAGGGTTTAGGGTCTAGGGTTTAGGGTTTAGGGCTTCCGAAGGCCAAAGCCCCAAACTCTCGAAAGAATTCTGGGCCCCAACGTTCAGGAGCGAGGATGTAGGTTTGAGGTTTAGAATTTGGGGTGCAGGTGGTTTTCGGGTTTGGGTTTGGGCGGGGGGGCAGGGGGGGGTGCAGGGCGGGGCGGGGGGCGGGGGCCAGGGGGCAGAGGGGGGGGCAGAGGGGGGGGCAGCGGCGGGGCAGGGGGGGTGGGGGGGGAGGGGGGGCAGGGGGGCAAGGGGGGGGGGGGGCAGGCGGGGGGGGGGGTGGGTGAGGGGGGGACTTCAAGTTCGGCGCTTCTAGGGCAAAAGCCTAGGATGTGCGTTTTTGTTTGAGGCTTCAGGACCTATATAACTTTGGGCTTTAAATAAAGATTTCAGAGAATAGGTTCAGGACCTAACAAGGCTATTCGAAGTGTGTGGAACGCCAACACATCATCATGTTCGCAGTCGGGCTGGCGATGCCTGCGCGAAGGCGTACTGAGCGCTAGCTACTTCAGTAACCTCGGTCTCAGAGTCGCAGAAACCCCAAACCCCAAACCCTAAACCGAGCCATGGGTACCCTGAATCCTGAAACTCGAACCTAAACCGGAAACCCCAAACCAAAATTTGGGTACCTGAAATGCCCTCGAGACGAAGCCCGAAGATGCGGTCTCTCGCCTGAGTCAGCACTTGCCGCCCCTTCTGCCAGACCTCCTCCATCCTCTCGTTGACCTGCCGCACAGTGGGGTTTGGGGCTTAGGGTTCAGGGCGTAGCGGCTCCAACCTCAACTGTCAAACCATGATAGACCTGAATCATCACTCACGCTCGCCAACGGTACGTGCGCCATGCGAAGCTTGTTGACTCAGTTGCTGTTGAAGAGATTCAGCTTAAAGACTGCGTATGGGGTTGCACAGCATGTGTCACGCGCAAGCATCTTCAAAGACAGCACCTGTTGTTTGCCGTCTTCCTCACTAAGCCTCATGGCCATGCAAATTCGGTGAAATGGCACTTCATCGATCTCATTGAAGAGCATCAAGGCCAAACGCTGGTAGGCGGAAACCGACAACAAAAGCGGGGAATCCAATCCTCGAGCTCCACAGTTCCCACACCATGAACCCACCGAAGGCTACGGCCGCAAGTTATAGAGCCCCAGTGGCTAGGGTTGCAAGGCAAAGACTTCAAGATCTGGAGATCTCATTGAGCTGGCTGAGTCAACTGCGGGGGGAAGCCAAAACTCTGGTCTCGCGAGCTGTCGCCACCTTTGTTAAAGATTCGTGTCCTTGTCCAGATTCCAGCGCATGTTGCATCTCGAAAATCGCCGAAGTGCATAAGCGGTTGGCCTTCTGACGCTCTGTTGATATCCTGACTGAGTCTTCTCGCAAGCATCGCGCAATGACTTAGGACATCGCTAGTTGGTTTACACGCCTTCACCGATTACGGCGCTGAGCGCAAGGCTGACAGCGCAGGGAAAGACGACAAAATGCCAAGGAGCACGCTAGAAACATAAGACACGCAAGAGCCCAGGCAAAAACTCAAACTGAATCGTGATCGCAGGGATGGGAATCATCTCATCTGCATTGGCCTTTGGAAAAGCCACCCAAAATTGAGCCACCACACCGCAAGACATCATCAACCCCTCGCGCTGGGAACAGCTTGGGCACCCGCCAAGAGGCAGTCCAAACACCAAACACACGACACGGTAATCGCATCATCCACACGTTGCACTCCCTGTAGAATTTCAGACACCCTGAAACTGGCGTGACTCCATGCTGGGTCCATCCTGTTCTATCAATAGTGGGTTTCTGTTTGGCGTATAGCCGATCAACATCTTCGCCCAATTCAGGAACTGTAGCAGGCCCACAAAACGAACCTCCCATTGGGTAGCCCGCACGCCTCCGCATGACAGTATCGCAATGGAAACAGTCGGTCATGCGCAGCATAATGAAAGCATTTCTTGATGTGATGCGCTGGAAAGATGTAACCGCAAGGCAAAGCAGCCTTTCCAGTGGCCATTGCCACTACTGACCGCTTCGTATTCTTGCAAAGTCGCCTGAGAACGCAAAACCCCTGCGCAATCCACGCTTAGGCGATGCTGCTTTGAAGAACTGGGAAGCATCAGTACGACTGCAGGCGACGTCAAGTTGTTTCGCCTTTCCACACGGGCGCCGCTTCTCACATTCACCGGGATTTGCAAGCAAACCGATTCGGAACATCCGCGAGTTGACTTTGATTCCAGAGAGTCCACGAAGGTTCGTTGGAGAGTCTTTTTGCCAAACGACATGCTCGCGCCCTTCGCAACGAAGGACTGGCTTGAGTGGTTTATGGAAGTTCGAAACAATTTCTCTCTCGTGAGAATGCTTTTGGCGCAAGTTAGACCTCGGCGCTCTGCATGTAAACAAATCATGTCGCTTTGTACGTGTTGCACGGTTCTCCCATGTGCATATGAAAATCATGCTAACATACCGATATTAATCAGGGCAGCAGCAAAAGAATCCTTGCCCGGCTCAGACGATCTGGTAAGGCTTCAGGGGGATTACGAGCAAACGGCTTTCTTAGACGGACGCGATTCAATGTTCCCGGAACCATTACTTCCAAAAACTCCTTGAACTCGGTTGGGACGCGGGAGGGTTGAGGAGCGTTGCAAAGTTTCCGCGGTTTCGGGGATGAGCATGGTTCCTATGGGCCCAATACATCCCAATGCCCTACACTCGCTACCCTCTGGACTTTAGACACACAAAAAACTCCCGACACTCACCCCTGAACACCCAAAACCTCAGCGTGAAGGCCTTGGCTTCAACCTCCTGCAGCACCGCTCGGCATACAGCCTGCACAGGGCCACAGGTGGGGGGGGCAGGGGCTCTTTCTAGCTTGCTAGCAGCCACGTTTTCTAGCTTCTACAGGGGCTCTGGGTGCTTTTGGGGGGCGCGGTGAACGGGTCCCATCCACGCTGGGTGTACTTGGTCAATGCGGTCAGCGCCCCGGAAGGTGCAGGCGAGGGCAAACTTCAGGCCGAAAGACACAAATAGTCCTGCAGTGCTTAACGTTGTTTTTAACTTCCGCAGCGTTGCCCTGCGCCTGTGACGATCTTGCAACTGGTGTGCGACGAGCCGGCGAACTCGAAGCGGAGCTTCGTGCACGGGGCCTTTGAACCCCCAAAGCCCTGCAGCCCAAGGCCCATGACCTTCGCGTTGAGCTTAACATAAGTCGCCATAAGAAGGATTACTACGTCGTTTACTAGGCTACACGGTAAGTCTAAGCTCCATAACAAGAAACCAGCATCTGGTGCAAGCGTCTGGGTGACTAACCCAAACCCGAAGAACACGAAGCACCCTAAACCCCCCCCCCCCATCCGCTTTAAACCCAACCTATTCCACTCGGCCCCTACAGCCGTGATTCTCCCCAAATCCTGAACCCGAAACCCCTAACTGCACTTAAGCCCTAAGCCCTACACCCTAAACCCGATAAACCCTACAAACCCTATAAGCCCTATATAAACCCTAGCAACCCGATAACCCTATAGAGCCGACAGTCTAAAAAAAACCTAAAAACCCTAAAAACCCTAAAGCCCCTAAAAACCCTAAAAACCCTAAAAACCCTAAAAACCCTAGAAACCCTAGAAACCCTAAAAACCCTATAAACCCTATAAACCCTGCACACCCTAAAAACCCTAAAAACCCTATCAACCCTATAAACCCTATAAACCCTATAAACCCTTTGAACCCTATAAACCCTATAAACCCTATAAACCCTATAAACCCTATAAACCCTATAAACCCTATAAACCCTATAAACCCTATAAACCCTATAAACCCTATAATCCCTATAATCCCTATAAACCTAAACCCTATAAACCCTGTAAACCCTATAAACCCTAAACCCTGTACTCCTACACCCTAAATCGCCCTAAACCCCAAACCCTAAACCCTAAACTGGAAACCCTATTCCCCTAAACCCTAAACCCTACAAACCTTACAAGCCCGAAACCCTGAACCCCTACACCCTAAATCGCCCCCCCCTAAACCCTAAACCCTAAACCCTAAACCCTAAAGCCTAAACCCAAGCCCTAAGCCCTAAACCCCTTTAAAGGGAAGACCGAAAGCCCCCGGCCTGGTGTGGGGAGCTCATGGATTGGGCCTCGCGCCAAGCCGTGAAAGGCTGTATCCTATTTTGGGCTAGGGTTTGGGGTTGAGGGTTGAGGGTTGAGGTTTTAGGGGTTTAGGGGTTTAGGGGTCACAAAACCCCGTAAGCCCCGACTTCTGAAACCTGACCTTTGCAGCAACCTTCCTTTAAACCCCCTTTAAAACCCCCTAAACACCCCCTTAAACCCCCTTAAACCTTCCCTTAAATCTTCCCTTAACACTCTGAAAAGCCCTAAATCCCCAGCCCCGGAGCCCCCCAAGATTCCGTGGCTTTGGGGGCCTTTCGCTTTGGCGCCGTGTGAAACGGAGGCCCAGCATCCGAAACCTCAAAAGCCCAAAAGCTCCCCCCCAAAGCCCAGGGCTTAGGGGTTTAGGGGTTTAGGGTTTAGGGTTTAGGGGTCTAGGGGTTGAGGGGTTTAGGGGTTTAGGGGTTTAGGGGTTTAGGGGTTTAGGGGTTTAGGGGTTTAGGGGTTTAGGGGTTTAGGGGTTTAGGGGTTTCGGGGTTTTGGGGTTTTAGGGGTTAGGGGTTTAGGGTTTAGGGGTTTAGGGGTTAGGGGTTTAGGGGTTTAGGGGTTTAGGGGGTTTAGGGGTTTAGGGGGGTTAGTTTAGGGTTTTAGGGTTTAGGGTTTAGGGTTTAGGGTTTAGGGTTTAGGGTTTAGGGTTTAGGGTTTAGGGGTTTTTAGGGTTTAGGTTTAGGGTTTAGGGTTTAGGGTTTAGGGTCTAGGGTTTAGGGTTTAGGGTTTAGGGTTTAGGGTTTAGGGTTTAGGGTTTAGGGTTTAGGGTCTAGGGTTTAGGGTTTAGGGTTTAGGGTTTAGGGTTTAGGGTTGAAGGCATCCCTCCGGCTTCCTCCACCCCAGCCTCAGCCCCCCCTCCCCCTCTCACCTACTGATGGAGATATTCGAATGAAGCTCCAAGAGGCCAGGGCGTTTTGGTGGTGTTGGGGCCAAGGGAGCTTTCTAACCTTCGCGGTTTGGGTCTTCTTGGTGTTTTTTAAGGGTGTTTCGAGGGCTCTTACGGCTGTAAGCCCCCCTAGACCCTAAACCCTCAACCCTAAACCCCTAAACCCCTAAACCCCCTAAACCCCCTAAACCCCCTAAACCCCCTAAACCCCCTAAACCCCCTAAACCCCCGAAACCCCCTAAACCCCCTAAACCCCCGAAACCCCCTAAACCCCCTAAACCCTAAGTCTTGGCTGGCGCGCACCTCTGGATCCAGCCCCGGCGGTGCCGGGAACGGCCTGGGAGATGTTGGGACGAGGAGCGCACCGCTGGACGCTTTGAGCGGTTTTTGCCCAAAATGGGTTTAGGGTTTAGGGTTGAGGGTTGAGGGTTGAGGGTTTGGGGTTTGGGGTTTGGGGTTTGATTTACCCCAACAAACAACAAGCCTTACCGGTGTTTCTTGGGGAACCCACCACAGCAGGGTACCCCCGATTGTCGGAAACCTCATGCAAGGTTTGGGGGGGGGGGGGGGGGGGGGGGGGGGGGGGAAGGTCCCCAGACACCTGCACCTTTAACACCCCGAAACCCTCTGATCCCAGCAACACTACGAGAGCGTGTGGGTGTGTCTGTGTGGGTGTGTGACCCGGCACTTTTCCATGTTGGTGCTGCCTCGAATTTGTGACTGCAGCCTGCGCTTAGCAACAATCGTCATGGCCATGACTCTCAGGACCCGAGCTCTGGCTAAGGAACTGACATTAAGTTGCAATAATTAAGGGGGTACAACTCATATGGTAACGTTGAATACAAGTCTAACCTCCCTAGCCGGAATCCCAGCTATTGTGCTTTCCTTGTGGGAGTTTTGGGACCCGGGCATTTGGGAGGGCCTCCAACTTCGCTATAACCCCGAAACACCCCCCCTATAACCCTCTCAAAGGCCTGGAAAACCGCCATGAACCCGACTTTCACCGGTGAACCCTCTGGAACCCTCTGAACCCTCTCAACCCTCTGAACCCTCTGAACCCTCTGAAGCCTCTGAACCCTCTGAAGCCTCTGAACCGTCTGAACCCTCTGGAACCCTCTGAAGCCTCTGAAGCCTCCCCCTAAACCCTAAACCCTCAACCCTAAACCCGAAACCCTGAACCCTCTGAACCCTCTGACGCCCTACTCGCCCTGCAGCTGAAGCCACATGGCACGATCATTCGCCGACTGGGCCTCGGATGGGGCCGCGTTGTTCGCTCTTTGGGCGGAACATGGTCCACGACTATGGGGCTCCTAATGAGGGAATCCCGAAACATCCCTTGGGGCAGAGACAAGAGACTCCGATTGCTGCTGCGTAAACAATCTGGAGAATACACCTAAACCCTAAACCCTAAACCCTCAACCCTCAACCCTCAACCCTCAACCCTAAACCCTTGGCTTCCAACTTGAGGTTTAGGGCGTAGGGGCCCAAACCTGAACGCCAGCCAGATAGCAGCATCCTTCTTCAGAGGACCCCGAACCGGGACCCCGAATTTCTGGGAATCTAAACTCCCGGCACCCCACACAAATAAACAAAACACACACACACACACACACACACACACACACACACACACAAATTAGATATTAAAAGCAAACGCACAGGAAAACCCCCCAAGTATCCGGGCAACCTTCACAAACACCGAATGGACAACGACAGAACCGAACACGGTCTCCAGCCGAAGTGGCCATGTTCTGAAGGGCTGCCACCTCAGTCAGTCCGCCCCCCCAAACACCCCAAGTCCTAAACCCTGACTAGCCCCTCAACCCCTAAACCCTAAACCCTAAACCCTAAACCCTAAACCCTAAACCCTAAACCCTAAACCCTAAACCCTAAACCCTACACCTAGACCCCAAACCTTTAGATCTTAAACCGTTTTTTGGCCCGTTAAGCCCCCAAAGGTTCTCCAACGCCCTTGAAAAGGTATCAGTTTGGTCAAGTGGTAAACTCACCCTCAGCCCATAACGAAACCTCAAAACGCCAAGCCCCCTGAACCTTGAAGACTAAAACCCCTGTACCTTCAAACCCTAAATCCTAAAAAAACCTGAACCTTCAAACCCTGAACCCTAAAACCCAAATCCCGAATTAAAAGGGGCCTCTGAGCTCACGCCCCCTCAGGGCCGTGGGGGAAATCACCCACGACCGGTTTATGGGTTCAGTCAAAGGCAAAAAGGACTTTCGAAACCCTAAACCCTGCGGCTTTATGGGTTTTTGGGGTGTGCAGGTGTAGGGTTTAGTGCGGGACTTGGGGGCTTAGGGGGCTGAGTCGAAGGTCTTGAGGGCTTAAGGGTTTAAGGGTTCAAGGGTTTGAGAGGTTCTAGGTTGAGCATTTAAGCTTCGTTTTTTTGGGAGAGGGGGGGGGAGGAGTTGGGAGAGTTGGGCGGGAGGGGGGGGGGTTCCGCGGGGCGTCCCGTATTTGATGGCTGCGGAGCGCGGCTCTTGGAGTTCTCAAGGACTTCGGAGCCCCCTTGACATCAGGAACTGGCTACGAGCTGTACTTGGAGCTTCATGGGTACTTGTAACCCCACATTACCGGTCTACCTAGAACCTACTTGGGGGATTTACGGGGCTTAGAGGTAGAGCTATGCTTGGGGTCATCAGTACCCATGAACTTCCAAGTATGGGGTGGTAGTTACATGGGGCTAGAAGGCGTTATATGGGGCTAGGGTAGAGGCGCTATATGGGGTTAGGGTTCAAGGTTCATAGAGTTTTCAAACACGGTTGAGTTCGGCAGGGAAGTCAGGATCCACTGTTGCTTCATGCGAGTCTATTGAAGCAGAGAACTCCGACAGTTTGCAGAGGCCGGGGTGACGCCATCTTGACGAATCAAAGGCTTTAGGAATAGGTGCGTTTTCGCCAACCAACTCACCCACGTCTTACGATCCGCAGGCTCGTAACACCTGTGGAGTGTTGCGGATGTTGGCGGCGTGAGTGCGAGCGCGGGCGTAGATCTCAGCGCAGGTGGGCGGTTTGAGGCGCGCGGTGCTGTGGCGGCGGCGCGTGCAGACACCGGGAAGGTCATCCATGTCGAAGCCCCGCGTGTGCGCACGCGCGCGCGCGCGCGCGCCGTTTACCAACCCCGCAAGGTAAGGAACCCCAAAGGGCAAGCACTTTGCGAGAGAAACAGCTCCACATGCCAAAAAATGAGACCGGGGGACGGCTACGCAGCGACGGAAACGGCAGAACTCAAAGAGAAGCCGTTGGGTGTAAAAGAAACAACGATCGAGGATAAAGGAGGAGGGCAGGATGTGCGAGTAAGGAAAACAGGCAGCCGGCACAACTAGCAAACAACCAGCCATGACCGTTCACACGGAACAAGCCCAACTATCCCGAAACGATACCCCCTTAGAAACCTTCATGAAAATCGATTTAAGTATCTTTGGTTGAGTACGAACAAACATATAACACCCCCCCCCTCCAAAAAAAAGACAGCAAAACCGGCTTATGAAGTCAGCTGAGGCGCCAGCTGGAGCAAGGTTTCACTGTTCGAGGCTGGCTTGGAAGCTTGAACCGAAAGTGGCACGGGGTTTTAGGGCTTCTTGGGGTTGGCTTCAGGGTTCTTAGGGTTCGGGATTTTGGAATTTTTTTTGGGCTTCTATCTTGTTGGGGCGTTGGGGGGTTTGGGAGGTTTTTCGGCCTCGTGCACACGATGCGCCGCACTCCCAGCCTAAACCCCAACCGCCCTAAGCCCTAAGAGCCCTAAGAGCCCTAAGAGCCCTAAGAGCCCTAAGAACCCTACACCAGGCATCAAGTTTCAGGGGCTTGCGCTTCTCGTCTTGGCGGCTTCTGGGCAAGAGGCGCCTCGCACCCAGGGAATAACAAGGCCGATGAAGACTCTAGGGATCATAAGGGGGTTTACGATACTAGGGGTACTTTATTGGGGTCCTTGCTAGAAAGTGAATCCTACTGCGGGGTCTACTTTAAGGGAACCCCGGGTACTTTATTAGGGTCCTTACTAGAAAGTGAATCCTACTATTTGGGGGGTCTATGCTAAGGGAACCCCCGGGGAAACGACTAGCAGGCAGCTGTAACAAGTGTTTCGCCGCAGTCATTGCATGGGCGCTGTTATTGCATTGGCGCACACAGGGAATCTCCCCCCCAACAGGCCACAGCATGACCCAAAGGGCGGGTGAGTGAAACTGAGGTGCCACTCGAGGCAGCCATTCAAAGGAGGCGCCACTCAAAGGCAGCCGGCACTTCTGGGGTGGCTAGCGTGGAAGGGCAGTTACGGGCGCTAGGCTTTCAAGGTTTCCCAAAAGCAACGCGCAAGGTGCGTTGGACCCGGTAGTTCCTAGACCTCAACGCCAGACTCGCCGGAGATCTCAGACGTTGCTGCTCCTGGAGAGGTTTCGCTTGCACGTGATAAGAAGCCAATGAAGTTCCCCGAGATTCCCAAGCGGGGGTTTGATTTGAAGAGAGGCACAGGGGCTTTGGGGCGGGGAATAATATGGAATGATGCTACTGATGTTCTAGAACCATCCGTATACAACCTCGATAAAACCCCGGTTTTCCAGTGTACTCCTTGTAAAGCTCTAGACCCTAACCCCAACCCTCAACTCTTAACCTCGTTTTGAAACCCTAAAGCCCCCTAAACTGCCTCAAGCCCCCAAACCCTCAAAACCCCTACACCGGCACCAAACCCCTAACCCCTAAACCCTAAACCCCAAACCCTGAACCCCCGAAACCCCTGAACCCCCGAAACCCCTGAACCCAGCAAACTTCAGGGGTTAGGGATTTAGTCCGCCGCTGGCCCTGGTCGGGCCGCGCTGGAAGCTTTAAAAATCCTGGGGCTCGCCGAACATCTTGATCCGACTCCTGCAAAGAAGAAAGGCTCGGGGTTTACAGGGTAGGGCTCAACAACGTAATCTATGCTAGTGTGACATTTCCAGAGGGTCAGGTACGGATGTGTAGGATGTATTGGAGGGCGGCGCATCAGTTGCACGAAGAAGACCTTTCATGTCTGATAGCGGACAATCCAACACAACCTCCGTTGTGTTCTCGTCTGGTAGAGTGTGCTCATATTGCGTGGCCCGGGCCGTATCATACTGTTAGCATAGTAAACTCCACATGCTGTACTAAGCAATACTAGAGCATACTACCATCTACCTACTACTTCAAACATGAAACCCTGATGAACCAACCCAACAGAGAAAAAGCAAGCTCCGGCGCCTCGTTGTCTTCCTCCTCCTCATCTTCTTCCTCTTCCTCCTCTTCCTCCTCCTCTTCCCCCTCTTCCTCCTCTTCTTCCTGTTCATCTTCGTCGTTTCAAAGGCTTGGCTTGGACGTCAGGTTTTGGGGCCTTCTAGGGTGAGAATGAACGGGGGTTGAGGGTGTAGGGTGTGGGGTATCGGGGTTTGGGGAATCTTCGGCCGTGGGTGTTCGGGGGGTCTCTATCGCAAACTGTGCTATCCTACTCTTCCTACTCTAGATGCTGACAGACAGGTTGCATCCTGCGGTGACTGATCATGCTTCGAGGCCAACACCCACCAGAGAGAATCCCCCTGCTGCTACGGCTTAGGGTTTGCGGCGAATGCTGTTTGGGGTACGTCAAAGGGCTTCGGGATTAGGATTCTTCTGTTTACTAAGGACCGCCCGCCCTCAGGCTGAGCTTGGGGCGGCCAAGAGGTCTTCCAGCAGCAGGCGACTGGCCTCGCAAACGTCAGAAGTGAGGGGCGCTTGGCCTTCAAGTTTCTCACCCTCTTCCTAGCAGTACTTCTTCCAAAGCCCTATGCTTGTACAAAACAACAAAATTCCTGTCTAAACCACATGTGCACGCTCTGCATCGCTTGTCAGCAATCCCCAAACATCCAGCGTGTAGTACAGTAACTCCAGTTGCAGTTGGCGAGGTAGGCGATCTGCAAAAAGGAACATGTCCAATCGGCTAGTTTCTGAGTCCCTTTGCCAGAGACAAGAGCAACCATAGGCCTCGCTGCCCCAGTGATCTTCGTCCTTTTGTGCAAAGCACGGAACTGTTTAACAGAGGGGTCGGGATAATTGCTAGTATTATTCCCTTATGGTCCCTTCATACCTACTCAAAGAACACTTGCGCCCAACACACTCGGCAGACAAGTCATGAAGATATCACGCCGCTTAGGTTTACACGAGGACGACAGCTCCAAACATTGCCATCTTGAAGCCGACGGTCAAAGTCCACCCCGAGACTCTGTCATGAGCTGCGGATGAGTCTCCCTAAACCCTAAACCCTAAACCCTAAACCCTAAACCCTAAACCCTAAACCCTAAACCCTAAACCCTAAACCCTTTAAGTACTTGCCTGGGCAGCTTATCCTTCTGAGTCTGAACCTCGAGGGCCGGGCTTTCAGCAGCCCAAACCATGTGCGGGCCTTTTCCCTGAGTCGGGCACCACTTCAGGCAGGTTTAGGGCTTAGAGTTTAGGGTTTAGGGTTTAGGGTTTAGGGTTTAGGGTTTAGGGTTTAGGGTTTAGGGTTTAGGGTTTAGGGTTTAGGGTTTAATCCGAGCATCAGTTAATTCATACCCCCACATTTAAAGAAATTTTTTTTGGCCGGAAGCCCGCCGGAAGACTACTTTCCATTAGGGTGGATTTCGTATGGGACAAACCCCCCACATTTAAAGGAATTTTTTTGGGGGGGGTTGCAAAATTTCGAAACTAAAGCTTTTTTTTTTGCTTCTGCAAGAAAAGATCGATGTGAAACATCCGCTAAGGCTGCACCTGCTGCAGGAGGAAGCTTTCACTTCAGGGGCTACACATCAGGGGCTACAGCAAAAGGAGCACCTAGAATCAATACAGGGCCACGGTCCAACTATTGCGGAACCCTGCATTCCTTATTGTGGGGGGGGGGGGGGCCCCCCACCAATTAAACAGAAGCTCGGATTAGGGTTTAGGGTTCAGGGTTCAGGGTTCAGGGTTTATGGTTTAGGGTTTAGGGTTTAGGGTTTAGGGTTTAGGGTTTAGGGTTTAGGGTTTAGGGTTTAGGGTTTAGGGTTTAGGGTTGAGCAATCTCTGGTAGAGCCGCTGTTTCGACTCTAGAAAAAACCCACCCACCCAGAGAATCCCAAAATAAAAAGAAGTATGAAGTTAACATTTTTCATCAGCAAGCCCTGTCCCCGAACCTCACTCTGCCATGGAGCGGTCCACCCCACCGTCGAACCATTCAATCGGCCCGCTGGAGACGCACAGTCAAAAACTCCCCAATTTTGTTCACCTCATGTTTCTTGTTTCCACGTACCGGGCACGAACTGCCCAAAAACAAGCTTAATTTTGTTAACCTCATGTTCTTTGTTTTACCCCACCCCATCCTCGAGCCACTCATGTCAACCTCATGCTTTTTGTTTTCCCCCACCCCACCCCCGAACCACTCAAGACGAGAAAGACTAAGGAAGGGGGGTGGGGTGTCGAAGCCCTCATCTGCCCCATAGCGAGGGTTTCGAGCCCAGAATGGGGGTCTGGGCCAGAAGAGGCTCTTTCGGCACCGAAGGCCTGTGAAAATTGTTGAGCCTTGGGTTTGGGCGCATGCCCTGCCCTTGTTGCGGGTGCATTGTCAAGTGAGCCGTGCAGCCCCACCAAAGACTGGACCCTAAGGGGCCCCCTCACAAGGGGCCTCCGATGGGCTTCCCAGCTTCCATGCGTTGGCCAGGCGGGTGAACGCGGTTTTCTTTGCCAATGGCCACGGTTGTTTTTGCCAATGCCCATGGCCCCGATTAAACAAAGACACATATATATATATGCTCACCCCCCCCCCCATGATCTAGGTCGGCAGGCCTTTCGGCCGACTGGGGCAGAGGGAGGGGGGGGGGGGGCAATATGAAGTTTCTATACAAATATTAATAAGAACAAACACCTTGTATATCATGCTCCATATCACATGCATCCACACACACACACATTGTCCTGGTCACGCGGTAGTGGAAAAGCCCGTGGAGCTGTGATCGACGCCTAGCATCGTGAAAGCTCAAATCGTGTTTTGTTTTGCTTCCGTCCCCGTCCAGCCGTCCAGTATCATGGCTGACCTCATATCCGGTGATGTCTCCATGGAGGAAATCGCCGAGCACGTCAAGAGTGTGAATGTATACCCCACAAGCATTCACTCTTTCGTCGATGCCCCGCCCGGTCCACTAACCGTGCTCGACATGCCCTTGTCTGACTATCCAGCCGGTGGTCAGCTCAAGTGCATAGTAGACGTGGTCATGAATGTTCCAGACTTCCCCAAGGCACAGATTCAACAAGCTCTGGTTGGCAAGTCCATCAATGACATTCCTGCACCCTACGGTCTGAAGAAGTCTGTCGACAACTCCACCAAGTTTGATCTTGCCGTCGTTCCTCAAACTGATGGAAAATTCTGTGTAGTGAAGATCGTCAACTTCAAAGAGAAGGCCAAAGCTTCAGACCTCAAGGAGTATGTTTTCGGCACGCCTCACGTCGTAGATTGGGCTGGGGAAGTGAAGACCCGAAAAAAGTGCCTGCACTACGCCTTCGAAAACATCGGCGGCTTTCAGTGCCGGAACCATGTCTTCAGAACACACGATGAAGGCAAACCCGAAAATGACCGCACTGAGGAGGAGTGGGATGCGGGATTCGACTTCATCGAACAACACGGCCCTCGCGAAAACGTTCGCAACAAAGGTCTTCGCTGGGTCACCATCCAAATCTCGAAGGGCAACTCTCCCATTTACAAGTGGCCATCCTTGCTTGTGGAAAAGTCATTGCGGAATCTCGCGCAGGACGGTGTTCTCGCCAATGTCCATGAGATCTGGCCCTTGACGTTGTACGACCTGGACGTCCGGATCCTCCGGGCTCTTGCACCGCTCATTCCCACACTCAACGAGAAGGCGCTTGGGTTTCACGGCACACCGGGCAGCGGCAAAACACCAGTCGCTCGCACGGTTGCCATGGCACTGTCGCGCCATAACATTCGTGCAGCAAACAAGGTCGGCTCGGTGACACCGTCCTTTCGGCAGGCGTCGGAGTTTGACTTCTTTCGTGGTCAGACCGGCACACTCTTTCGCCCCGACATCTTCGATGACGGCTCCCTGGCGGAACAGCCATTCAAGAAGGTCAAAGCCTTCACCGACGTTGGGAACATTGAGTCCATGTCGAAGGAAAGGCCACTGGACTTGAACACAGATCTTGCTCGGATATCACTTTTTAGTCCACCCAAACACTTTTCGACCATCATATCTGCAAAAATAAGGATAATATCACTTTTTCGTCCATCCAAGCACTTTTCGACCATTATATCTGCAAAAACTAACACCGTCAATCACAAAGCACGTCTTGCTCGGATATCACTTTGTAGTCCACCCAAACACTTTTCGACCATCATATCTGCAAAAATGACACCATCAATCACAAAGTCTTAGGTGGGGCGCCGCCAAATGGGTGAAGGGGCAGCCCAGACTTTACTGCGTCAATGACTTCCAGCCAGCCAGTGAGCCCGCAGACACTCAGCCCATCTTAGAAAGACAGCGTGGAGCTCCTTCCTATGTCTCCCACAAGGACTTTCTTGTAATGCTGGACGATGCATGGAACACGAAGGAGAAGAACGACGCCAACGTCATGGCTGTTCTGAAACGCACACACATTATCGTCAACACCAACACATCCCTCTACATCCGCCCGGCGGGTGAGAAGTGTGCACCGGTTTTGCGAATGTGTCTTGGGGACAAAACAGACTATCTTCACGTGGATTCCCGGAAAATCTACGACTTCCATCGCAAAGGTGGTACCGATCTTCCTGCTGATTTTCAGCAAAATGTAGCTTGGGAGCAAGCTTGGCTGGAAAAGGCTATGAAGGGGGACAGGAACCTGCCGTACCGGGCGACCATCATCCAGGGTCGCAGCCCCTTCATGGACGGTGAGCCTACAGGAAGTTTGGGAGTTTCAGACACCTGCAAGGACCGAAACTTGCAGGAGCATCTCCTACAGAATCTTCATCAAGAACCCTCGCAGATGCATCAGCCCCAGCCCCGTGCTGCAGCATCGTCTGCAGCAAATCTCGAGGTGCCTTCTGCTCCCAGTCATGCAACACGCCGTCCTGCTGTCGTTAAGGAAGAGCCCCCTTCCTCGCCGCCACGTGTTCGAGTGGCCAAGCGAGAGAACCCATCAGGCCCCACAGGTCATAAGCACAAGCAAAAGGTCCGGGAGCTGCTTGAAGAACTTGGTGGACAGCCCATGGATCTCACCACGCCGCCATCTACCCCGCCACGAGCAGTCAAACAGGAGCCTCTGCCATTCAATCGTGCTCTCTCTGTCATCATCACGGAGCCCATCGACGTTGGTACACCCAGCCCGTCGCGATCGCACTCGGTCCTTTCGCCCCATCATGCGCCGGATGATTTGGAAAAGGATCTCGAAAGGATCATGCAGGAGGAAATGGTAGAGACAAGCGAGGCAGGCCAGGAGCACGATGGCGACCACGAAGAGAAGGAGTCGATGGAAAATGAGCACATCAAGGAGGACGAAGATGAAATGGATGTCGAGAGCGACAAGTGATTTTCTAGAGCCTAGCGACAGTATACCGTATCGCATGCAAGAGGAACGTTTATCATATCTACATATAAGTTTCGTATATGTGAACATATGTTTTCCTATTTACTTATAGCCTTTTATATAAATCGCCTAGATACATGCACAGGATATCTATCTCACATGTTCACGGTTTCCTTCAAGGAGCATTTTGAAAATTACGTCGCTCAGAAGGATCGTGAAGGTTTTGGCCGAAAACCGCACAAGGAAAAGCTCGTTGCACTTGCTGCTTCATGCACAGAACACCTGCATCTCTGCTTACAAGTACACGTAAACGTGAGCTTTCCATGCACACATCTGTAACGCATGATTTCGTCGAGGCTCCAGTAGCAGTCAAAAGTGTTTTGTAGATCCGGCTGCTCTGTACTGCAATGCCAAAACCAACACCCTCCAAGAGGAAAAAATCTTCGTGGTCCTCCTACTCCCCGAAGAGGGGCAAGGTGAGATCTCTCTACAAAAAACCGGTCACCAAGCAGATGCCCATGAAGAAGTATGCACCGGTCCCATACGTTCGACATGGCCAAGCCACCGTCAAGAATCGTCTCCATCGACAACGCTGGGGCCACTCCATCCCCAAGTTCATGAGCATGTCCACTTTGAACTTGATTCGCGTCTTGACCAAAGAAGGCATCCTTCGCAAGTGGTGTGGGCACACCTGTCCTCATTGTGGTCGGGGGGTCCTGGGGAAGTTGCAGAAGCATGCTTCCAGAGGCACCTGGCTCTACCGGTGCCGGCACTGGAAGTGCCAACGTTTCGTCCAGGCCCACGATTTCCATCCTATCTTCTTCGGAGGTGCCGGCAACAGCTATACTCCTCTCAATGTCCAAGTGTCTGCACTCTTTGCCGCAATTGCAGGAGTGTCTGCCACCTCCACACACCTGATACTGGACACAGACCATAAGCCAATCGACCGCATCTACTCCAACCTAGAGGTAGCCAGGGCCCGCTATGTGGAGCGCCAAGAGAAGTCCATCACATACGGGAATCCTAAGGGGTCTTTGTGGGTTGACGTCGAGGCTGATGAGGTGGATCTCGGGAAGGCTTTGGTCGAAGATGGGACGGGTGAGAAATTGAAATGGGAACAGTGGTGTGGCGTCGTGGAACGTGGTAGACCCTCCTCATTACGACTGTATCGGCTGACACCTCCTCTGAGCCAAAAAAGATCGCCCGGTCCGGGCCCCATCAAAAAAACGACTTGGTGCAAAATCGCAGTGCCTCTTCTGCAGAACCGGAAAGTTGTCCTTCATACTGACGGAGCCCGTGCATACAAGCTACGCATTCCGGGCATGCTTCACTGCAACGTCGTGCACAAGAAGAAGCGTGTCTACATGAACGGAAAGGTGTCTCGAAAGCTTAAGTGGATAAATATGATAGCATATATTTATGTATCATATGTTTACACTGTTTTTTTGATGAAGTTTCTTAGTTTGCAACATAGGCTGTCTGGATGAAGCCGCACTTCACCAAAGTCTTCAATCTAAAGGTTCCTGGCGGTGGGAAACTGCGAGTGAAGTCGGGCACTCAAATCATAGACCGTTTCTGGGGCCATGTTCGTGCCCATGCGAAGTATGCGCCAAGAGTCCCGGGCAATCAGGTTTTGCGTAGGAAGATCAGGTCGGCCCAGTTCACATACTGGCATAAGAACCAGAACGCGTGGAAGGCCACAGCCAAGATGCTACAAAATCTTAACTCGCAGTGAGAACTGTGAGGACGCACATGCGAGATGCCTGCACTCACAGTTTCAGAGTGACATTGCTCTGATTTTGGACAAACGTGAAGTGCCACCGGCTAAAAGCAATATCTTGTCCGCATGCATGCAGCTGCTGCCAAAGCCTGAACAAGTTTGGCTTCATGCATCCAAGTCACCATTCACAAAGTGGTCTCTTCCTGCGTGTGTGCAAGGAAGTCATATGAAATAAGCAGATTAAAATAAATACCTTTTCTATACCAAAAAGTGCCTTTTTTACAAAATCCGCGAAATTTGCTACAAAATCCAAAAATCCAAAAATCCAAAAATTCAAAACCATGGAGCCGGGAGGCCGCCTTTTTTGGATTTTTTGGTTTTCTCGAGGTTTTTTTGGTTTTTTTTGGAAAAATCCAAAAAAAACCATGTGTTTTTTTGGATTTTACTTGCTCCTGGCCTCAAAAACCTAAAAAACACATGGTTTTTTTTGGATTTTGAGTGAAAATCCAAAAAAAACCTCGTGTTTTTTTAGTTTCTGAGACCAGGAGCACCTGAAATCCAAAAAAACACGAGGGTTTTTTTGGATTTTCACTCAAAATCCAAAAAAAAACATGTGTTTTTTAGGTTTTTGAGGCCAGGAGCAAGTAAAATCCAAAAAAACACATGGTTTTTTTTGGATTTTTCCAAAAAACCAAAAAAACCTCGAGAAAACCAAAAAATCCAAAAAAGGCGGCCTCCCGGCTCCATGGTTTTGAATTTTTGGATTTTTGGATTTTTGGATTTGTGTCAAATTTTGCAAATTCTGCAAAAAAGTGTTTTTTACATACAATTCTGTGTTTATAAGCCTGTCCTATGCAAATAATTCATAGACATGTTTACCAAATGGCATTTTCATGTGTTTTTTGGGTGTTTTTTTATATGGTGATGTGGAAGTAGTGCTAAACACACGCGTTTTTCACTATTTAGATGTTTTCTCGCATAGGACTAGACATGCAAAAACAGGACATCGCCTAGCATAGCCAGCATGTCATTTTAATCGGTATTTACGAGGGTTTTTATAGGGACAAAGCAAAACCTAGATCATGGGGGGGGGGGGTGACCATATATATATATACCTATGAAAGAGAGGGCTTAGGGTTGAGGGTTTGGGGTTAGGGTTTTCGGAGTTCGGATTTCGGGATTCGGGCTTCGGGTTTCGCAGGGGTTGGGGTTTAGGGTTGAGGTTGAAGCTCAAGGGCTCGGTTCTTGCTTTAGCCATGTACAGGGAAGCTGCCTTAGTCGTGTGCCTCTCGACCCCAACCCGGCCCTAAGCATGTAAAACATGCATACGGCATAAGATCCTAGACCCTGAAGGCTCTGCACCCCCGAGCCGAAAATCCCCAAACCTCCCAAAACACACACACACACACACACACAAACACAACCTCAAACTTCCAACCCTAAACCTTGAAGCCTCAAAACTCGGCTGGCTGGCCCACTCATTCTGCTGAACCGATGTGCCCATCAACAACAACGCAGCCACCAGCGACCCGGTGCGCGAAACGAGGGCTTGTTGGAGAAAGCGTCAGGAACCCGACCGGCACGTGGAAAAAAGCAATCCAAAGCCAACGCGGGCTTCACTAAGCTCAGAGCGTGTGGAAGCGGAAGGTGAACGACAGCAAGTCCTTGGAATGTTGGAGAGTGTGCAAAGATTGCAAAGCTGGAACTTGAACAATCAGACTCACAATGCTTGGTTGCTTGTACTCAACTTTGCTTCACCCATTTACCCCGGCAGGGCTCAGCCCCTTGCGACAATGGCATTGCAACAGAAGGAAAACTAACGAGCTAGAACCTTGTATGTTCGGTACAGAATTACGTGAAAACGTCATGGTCTGAAAGCGGGTGCAGCAAGTTACCCACACCTGTATTTCAGAAGACCACAAAAGGCCATCCTTCTTAATTGCGAGCCCGCCGCCCAATAGGGACGGTGCTGACGAAGCCACCGGTCCTCAGAATTCCATGCTTGATGTTGCAACAATCGGTCGCGTGCAACACGCAAAGCACTTCGGCCCTTGAATGACGGCACGCGTTCGCTTACCTGAGCCGCTGGCAGAGGTGAGGATCACCAGATCTGGCCTTGCTGTTTCGGTAGTGGTTTAGGGTTTAGGGTTTTAGGGTTTAGGGTTCAGGGTTTTAGGGTCTAGGGTTTTAGGGTTTAGGGTGAGAGGTATTGCGGCGTAGTCTGGGGCATGAGATTGAACCATGCTGAGGGTCCCGAATTGTAGGTCCTTTACCTGATGGATCCAAAGTGTGTACTTTCACACGTTGTTCCTCTTGAAAACGACACCGTTCTGGCACTAATGTTGGAGATTGTTTTTTGCATCGCAGGGTGGAATCCTGAAATGTAGGAGCGTCAATGCCCCAGAAATGCAAATTGACTCCTCTCAGGCCCCCCAAAAATTTACTTTCGACGCCCCACCCCAAGAGTCCAAAAAAGGACCCCGGCTCTCGGGACTTTGTAGGTTGACAATTCCTCGCGTTCGGTTGCGTTCAATCGATATTCGTAGAGGTTGTGAGGTTGCAAACTTGGATTTTGAAACCATTAAGCACAACCCTCCTTGCACTTGGTGCAAAAATCCCCGGACGTTGGTCCAACTAAAGTCCCTGCAGTCCGGATTGAGAGACTACGAATGCGAAAAGAATGTTTCTGCTTTTGTTCGAAACCCTAGGATCTTATTCCTTGGGTCTTAAACTAAAACCCCAAGATGCCCATGAAAGCATTATGGTCTTGTGACTTAAAGGCAAGGCTGTTGCATGAGAAGTCCATGGATTTGCGCAACTTAAGTCCGAAATCTGTACCTGTGGCTTGGACGAACTCCAAACCCGATTGGGTCTCCAGGCCAACGAGAATGCAACAAGCATCGTTGGACATAAGGGCTGCAGGCTACGATGGCCACTTGCAACGTAGGTGGGAGCCCCCACATCTGAGACATGTGATAACCCCTCCGATTTTTCAGAGCCCACGGTGTTATGCGATGCTGGCCTCGGATTTTGTTCACGAACCCTGTATTGTGGTCCGAAATTGACAAAGGCTTTCGGCCCAGTATGTGTGTGGTTTGTGGGCTTGGACTTAAGAACTGTCGAAAGGCGTCTTTCGTTAAACCCGCATTTGTGCAAGCCTTTTTCCGTTTTCAAACCAACATCGCTTTCTGAACCTGTGCATGTCCAGTGTTCTTCATTTTGGTCAGAAACATGTGCGTTTTCATGCGCTTTCTTCATTTTGCATGTTGCCTTCGAAGCCGTTGAGTCTCTGATGTTCTTCCTTATCTTGATCAGGAACGGCTACTTTCCAATCGTCATGCTTCACGGTGTTGGATCAAAACCATCGAGCTTTTGACGCGTTTAGTGCGCTCTTTGATCAACATGGACGTAGTTACGTGAGACATGTTCCTCAAAGTTGCTCTCATTTCTTGACCCCATCCAGTCCTGTCCCACAGCCAGATCCCCACTCCAAGAACGACGCCTCTGCCCAACATATGCGCCTCACCTTAAACCCTAGAACCTAAACCCTAAACCCTAACCCCCAAAACTCTAAGCTGTACCGGCATCCGTCCCCTCCCACCACGCAGTCCTCTCTTCAGAACTGTAGCCTCAAACCTTACATCCTCAGAGCCAGGGGCCTTTAACCTCTTAAATCCCTGCGATATTCAATCTTCATCGTAATCCCTGAACCCTAAGCCCCTAGACCTTCAGCCGCTTTGCATTCCGCAACCTTTGGACCCTCGAATATCTGAAAGCATGGTTGCCTTACTTGTTTGAGTGTCCAACTCACTCAACCGCTTCACACAAAATGTCTGAGTCGTCAAACATTTGGAGCTTTTAATCACTATTGGCAACTTAACCTCCACAAATTCCGAAACCCTTAAACTCCTACACAGGGTTTGCCAAGGGATGCCTTCTCTCACCGAAAGATGTTTACACGTCTGGATGTCCCCATACAAAACTGTGTGCATCTTTCGTGGTGCCTCAGCCGGAAACCGTGTTACACGTTCGCTGTGGGGTGTAAGCTTGCACCCCAAAATGTACACCCTGACACATAAATTTTCCAACGCCCCCGAAAGGGTGTAGTGTAGATTGCCTAAGGCGTGTAAATTTTCTTTCACCCTTTGGATCCATCCGGTTCAGGGCAGACGACCCTCCCTTCCTCTTACCTCCTAGTACCTTCCCCCCTACCCCCCAACACCCTCCTCGCCCCTCAACCCTCTTCCTCCCACCACTTAAAGCCTTAAACCGCTTCTTATTTAAAGCTGCAGGCATTTCTGCCGCACCTGCATCGCTCCGGCTCCGCGTGCTTCGCCTGCACCAGGGCCGTCCATGTAACCGGCCTTTCTGGGCTTGGTTTTAAGGTCTGAGGCTTCAAGACTTCAATCAGCTGGTATTGGACATTGAGGGTGCATTATCACTATCACTACTATGGTGAAACCCTCAACCCCAAGCAAACAACGTGGCACCTTGCGTCGAAACCTAGGCGTGTCCAGCCTGCATTGCCCACCACCAGTCGCCCTGCCGCAGGGTGGGAGGACCGACGGCCGAAAGTGCTCGTCGTGAGTTTGCCCACTGCCCCTACTTTGGAGTGGACCCTGGACAAACATGTATATACTTTTTAGGTACAAGTAGCTATAACAGGAACCCAGAACCAAAAAAAGTATTAAAGTATAGTACTCCAAAACCCAGACACATGGTACGAACCACGCCTGGTGGTCGCCTTCTGAAAATTCGGCGCTGGCCTCGTCCAGTACGAGACGGATAACACAGTTCGGTTCTTGCGTCGTGCACCACACGCATCTGCATTGGAGTTCGTGGCTCCTGACAGGTTTTTGTTCTTCTCTCTCGCTCTCTATCACTCTCTCACTCTCTCTCACTCTCAGCTGAAGATGTAGGGGCAATCTCGCAAGGGCTGAGGGCCTGACATGCAGGCACCACCACTCATCGCCCTGGCAGTCCTCCTCCACAGGCATGGGGGGACTTGGCATCGAGGCATGTCAAGTTGCATGAGCTGGCTAAAGGGGTCAGGCGGGTCTGGGAATGCAGGACTTGGCATTTTGACTTGCAGCATGTACTTTGTCAAGGCTTTGCACGGGCTTGAGGGGGTATTTGGCTTTCAAGTGGGCCGGCGCAGACATCAAAAAGGCGTCACAGCAGCCAGAAGCAAAGTGAAACAACGGCCACGATAGCACTGGCACTGGCCATTCAAGTTGCCAAACTTCCGCTATCCCAACATCCTAAACCCTAAGCCCTAAACCCTAAACCTAAACCCTAAGGATCCCTCAGTCAGCTGAAACCACACGAAGAGGACCCCATGGGCCTCGCTGAGGGGCAGAAAGAGCTTCAATGCCATCGCCTTGGTGGATTTGAGGCTGTGTTGGGCTCTGTACATCTCGGGAACCCAAAGGGTCTATAGAGCTCAACCCTCTGGCCCAAGAACTAAATGTCCAAAACCCGCTACCTAGTACCAGGCTGAGACTCTTAGTACCCCCTAGCCTCCCCAAACATGCTTGCTCGCTGCCACCCTGCTCCAAGCTTGCACACACCCTGGGTCCCTAACGGCCACAACTTGCTACTTCGTGCCACTCTCTTGCACACTGAGATTGCAGCTGGTGAAACAATGAAATGGCGCTGCCAAAAAAAGATGCGAAGTATGAGCTTTGGGCCGAAAAGAACCAGACATGTTATAGAGTGCCAGCACTATTCCCTGAGTCTACTCCGAGTCCTCCTCCTCCTCCTCCTCCTCCTCCTCCTCCTCCTCCTCCTCCTCCTCCTCCTCCTCCTCCTCCTCCTCCGCCTACTACCCCTGCTGCTACACCTCCTCGTCCTCCTCCTCCTGCCGCGGTTGCCTTTGCTGTTGCTGCCGAAGCACCACAACCTAAAACCCCAAGCCGGAGATAGTTAAAAGCAACCCTAAACCCCGAACCCTAAATCCCAAACCCTAAATCCCAAACCCTAAATAACCCCAAACCCCAAACCCTAAACCCTAAACCCCAAACCCACACAAATCTTTCATCAGCTTTTGCAGGCCCCGAGGCTCTGATGCTTTCAGGTTGAAAAGTGGACCCTGGGGTTTGGGCTCCTTGGCCATTGCCTTTTGCGACTTTGGGGTTTGAGTAGGGTCTAGAGCCTGTATATGGCAACAAGGCCTCTAGGGCTTTTAAGAATTTTCGGGTTGCAAAAAAAATGCCTCCCCCTGGACCCTAAACCCTAAACCCTAAACCCCAAACCCTAAACCCTAAACCCCAAACCCCAAACCCTAAACCCCAAACCCTAAACCCTAAAGAGCTTTTTGCGCACCCGGCAGCTGCAAGGTGCGCGGGCCTGCGGAGCTTCCGGCATCTGGGGGGTGGAGGGGGGGGCTCGCTCCCCGCGCTTCGCTTCAGCTTGGCGTTGCTTGGCTCAGGGGTTTGAGCCGGCAAAGGATTTAGGGCTTAGGGGTTTAGGGTTTAGGGGTTTAGGGTTAGGGTGTTGGGTTTTGGGGTTAGGTGTTAGGGGTTTAGGGGTCAGGGGTTTAGGGTTTAGGGTTTAGGGTTTGGGGTTTGGGGTTTGGGGTTTGGGGTTTGGGGTTTGGGGTTTGTGGGGGCGGATTCTGCAGTGGGGGCTCGGGCTTGTGCAGGTCTCTCGAATCTGGGGAGCTCGATTCCGGGGAGGCTCCAGCCAGAGCCCAAGAACTCTAGGCTGTACGGCTTGCCCTTACCCCTACATGGGGGGGTTCCGAAATTATGGGCGCCTCCTTGGGGGGTTCGTTTTCTATTTTCGTAAACCCCCAAGTCCTAAACTTCTTAAACCCTACTTGGTTCAGAAGAGGGGGCTTGCGTTCGACCCAACAGTCCGTCAGAAAGCGCATGCCGCATGACCAGCTGAAAAAATGACTAGCCCAGAAAACGACCAAATCCCTACCCAACCCCTGGATTGTGCACTCCGCCCCACCTGGCCCTCATCGCTGGTCGCTGGCGCCCATGGCCGCCTGTGCCCGAACATCCGTTTTGGGTTAAGGGTTTTAGGGCGTATCGTCTTAAATACCGCTTTCAGGGCTGGGGGGTTTTAGGGGTTTAGGGTCCAGGGTTTAGGGGTATAGGGTCTCGAGTGTCTGAGGGCTGCAACCCCCAAAGCTGGAAACTTTTCCGGACGCCCCGCAGTACTGAGTGTGGCGCTGTGTCATCCTGTTAAGCCTTTGAACAAAACCGTAGGGCTCAGGGTTCCGGACCCGCATGTACCCGAAACCCTAAACCCTAAACCCTAAACTCCCTAAACCCTAAACCCTAAACCCTAAACAGGGTGATACCCTCAAACCCAAAACCCTCAAGCCACGGCACCTCCTCCTCAGCTAGCACAGCCTCGATTTCGGAACCTCGGGCGGAGAGCGCCGGCAACAGGGCCCGGCAAAGGAATGGGCTAGGGGTTTGGGGGGGTTCGGGTTTGGGGTTTAGGGGGTCCAGGGGGTCTAGGGGTTTAGGGTTGAGGGTTTAGGTTTAGGGTTTAGGGTTTAGGGTTTAGGGTTTAGGGTTTAGGGTTTAGGGCTTAGGGCTTAGGGTTTAGGGTTTAGGGTTTAGGGTTTAGGGTTTAGGGTTTAGGGTTTAGGGTTTAGGGTTTAGGGTTTAGGGTTTAGGGTTTAGGGTTTAGAGCCCGTGCTCATCGAACATTTTACGAGTCTGGTTGGGTGTCCGAGAAACAAGTTTCCGGTAGTCTAAGCCTTGCGGCCGCGGGACACACCTGCAACAGCCCCAAAACCCTAAACCCAAAACCCTAATCCTAAACCCTAAACCCTAAAACCTAAACTCCCTAAACCCTAAACCCTAAACCCTAAACTCCAAACTCCCTAAACCCTGAACCCTCTAAACCCCGAACTCTTCAACCTCAAAATGCCGCGCCAGGCTGCGCTCGTCTTTCGGAACCGGCGCTGCCTCCCCCAGAAGCACCTCTTGCAGAGGGGTTTAGGGTTTCGGGTTTAGGGTTTTAGGGTTTAGGGTTTAGGGTTTTGGGTTTTGGGTTTTGGGTTTTGGGGTTTACGGGAAAGGGTTACGTACGGGTTTAGGGCTTACATGTGCTTGTTGGGTTTCAGTGTGCCCCAACCATGCCCCAAACTACGATCATCCTTATGGAACCTGCAAAAACTGGCCCTATTAGGGTTTAGGGTTTAGGGTTTAGGGTTTAGGGTTTAGGGTTTAGGGTTTAGGGTTTAGGGTTTAGGGTTTAGGGTTTAGGGTTTAGGGTTTAGGGCTTAGGGCTTAGGGCTTAGGGCTTAGGGTTTCCCTTCTAAGGGAAGAAGGGAAATCAAAAGTTATCCCAAAGCACAGCCCAAAAAACGCCGCGGCACCTCGCGGCAGATCTGCGGGACCTTCGCCTGAGGGGAGGAGAGCTTTTGGGCCTTTAGGAGGGCTGGGTTTGACATAAAGAAAGATGCATGTTGCACCCTAAACCCTACACCCTAAACCCCCACCCTGAACCCCAAACCCTAAACCCTAAACAGGGCGCCTTAAGTCAGCCGGCTCAGAAGTGAGATTTGCCGGGTGGAGGACATTGTGCAAAAACTTGGCAAAACAATTCTCGGGGCTTATGCATGGCATGTTGGTATTACGGCTAAACTGGACTTAGGGTTCAGGGCAGTCCCTAAGGCCCGAAACCCTCAACCTCAAACCCTAAATCCCTAAACCCTAATACCTTATATGGTCCCTTTGTAATCCTCCCATATAATCACCCCCAAAACCCTATTCGAATTCTTCAGGCCCCTCTATTGCGCGGCCCAGCTGCCAGGTCGTACGGGGAGACTGCCAGGACCTCGGCCAACAGGTTTTATCAAAAGCATGGAAGTGCGCCTTAGCGCTAAACCCGAAACCCTAAACCCTAAACCCCAAACCCTAAACCCTAAACCCCAAACCCCAAACCCTAAACCCAAACCCCAAACCCTAAACCCTAAACCCCTAAAACCCCAAACCCCAAAACCCCAAACCCTAAACCCCAAACCATAAGCCTTACTCCAAGCCCCACTGAGCTGGCGGCTCGGTCTCGGAAGCGCTTGACGAGCCTGCCGGGGGCTTTGCGGACTTAGACTTAGGGTTTAGGGTTTGGGGTTTAGGGTTTGGGGTTTAGGGTTTAGGCTTTAGGCTTTGGGGTTTATAGGGCTTAGGGTATTGCGGGTTTGGGGGTTAGGGTTAAGGGTGTAAGGTTTTTGGGTTTAGGGTGTTTAGAGGGTTTTAAGGCTTAGGGGGTTTGTAGGGGTTTAGGGTTTAGAGGGTTTAGGGTGATTGGGGGTCGCCTTTAGGTCTGTGCTCAAGGTGTTGAGGGTGGGAGCTCAGGTGGCGGTTTTGGGGGGGGGGGGGGGGTTAGGGTTTGGGGCTTTCGGGTTTAAGGGTTTGGGGTGTTCGGGGGTTTACTATAGGGCTTGGTTTAGGGTTTTGGGGGGATGTAAGGATTTGGGTTTTAAGGGTGGCTGGCGGTCCAGGGCTCCATCCGATGTTGGGGTTTTGGGCTGAGGGGGCTTACAAGGCTTGAAAGCTTAAGGGTCGAGTTTGGGCAGCTGAGGGTCCGGAGCTTGCCCGAAAGCACGCATGGAAAGAAGTATTTTTTGCTGAGGGCTTGAGGGTGTTCGGGTTTAGGGTGGCAAGTCTCTGCTCTTCCCCAGACGTGCACTTCATCTACTGCCGGAGCAATATCAGCACACGTTGGACCTGATGACTTTCTGACCCAAACCCGGGTCGTTGGTCTAGAGGCCTTATATTCGAGTGTTGATAGGAAATAGGAATTAGGGCTTAGGGTTTAGGTTTTAGGTTTAGGTTTTCGGGCTTAGGGTTTAGGGTTTAGGGTTTAGGGATTTAGGGGTTTAGGGTTTAGGGTTTGGGATTCCACTCAAGCACCAAAGGCCAACCTGAAAACCCTGCCACTCGCAAGCCTGTGGTGCTCGTCGATGGCGCTGTGACCGCTGTGGACCAAGTGGTCCTTGGGGGTTTGAGTCGAGAGATTGGGAAAGCTGGCCCCTAAACCCCCCCAAAAATCCTGAAAACCCTGATGCCCTGGACCCCGAACCCCTAGTCCCTATACCCTAAGCTCGCCGCCCCAAGTCCCCCAGCCTGAGCAGTTCGGACTCTCAAGAATCTGGCTTCATGAGCGGCACCAGGGCGGCCCTCCCCTAGAAAACTCCTCACCCCCCCCAAACAGAAGCCCCCTAAACCCTAAACCCTACCTAAACCCTTCGTAGGAGAGTGCTTCGGGTTTAGGGGTCGAGGGTTTCATGAGCCTTCTTGCGCTCAAGGGCCCGGCACCGGAATAGGGTTCAAGAACCCTAAAAGGTTTAGGGTTTAGGGTTTAGGGTTTAGGGTCTAGGGTTTAGGGTTTGGGGTTTAGGGTCTAGGGTCTAGGGTTTAGGGTTTAGGGTTTAGGGTTTAAGGTTTAGGGTTAAACCCTGAACCCAGAAAAAAGGAAGGGTTATGGGTTAGAGGTCAGGAGGTTGGGGTTTAGATTGCAAGTTATACGTACAAACTCAAGTTCATTACCAATCCAAAGAACATGAGAATGCTGTGCAAAGCATGAAAGGGCATAACTGGTTGAAGAATTTGGAGAGAATGGATCATCGAAACAACTGCTTCGTTTTTCTACGTCATGTCTTGTTTAGTATTTGTTATGCTGCGGTATTTAATGTAGTTGTGTGATCGATCCCCCCGGCGAAGGTCCATACCAGCGCTGAGTCAGCATAGAACCTAGGCAACCTAAGTGCTGCGGACCTGTGCCCAATGTCTGAGAATGTCACACTGCGTGTTCCGCAATCATTCCAGTCACCACGACCATGACAAAAGACTATACCGCTAACCAAGGATATCCAAATATACCGACAACACATCAAGTGAGCAAAGATCAAAGGGTTTAGGGTTTAGGGTTTAGGGTTTAGGGTTTAGGGTATAGGGTTTAGGGTTTAGGGTTTAGGGTTTAGGGTTTAGGGTTTAGGGTTGAGGGTTTAGGGTTTAGGGTTTAGGGTTTAGGGGTTAGGGGTTTAGGGTTTAGGGGTTAGGGGTTTAGGGGTTTAGGGTTACATGGGCTTTGGGAGCTTGGCTCTTGACTGGGCCGCCCGGCGCAGTACCCCCTGAAGTGCTGCTCGTTCGCCTGCTTGTTCACCTTCGCCTGGCCGATTTAGAGTCTGAAGATAGGTTTTAGGGTTTAGGGTTTAGGGCTTAGGGTTTAGGGTTTAGGGTTTAGGGTTTAGGGTTTAGGGTTTAGGGTTTAGGGTTTAGGGTTTAGGGTTTAGGGTTTAGGGTTTAGGGTTTAGGGTTTAGGGTTTAGGGGGGGGGGGGGCTTCGAGTTAGGGCTTTGGGTTGGGATGTTCCCCCTCTTATACTATGAGTCCTTAATGGGGCTTGCAATAGGGTGCACTATCATCCTTTTTTAGGATTGTTAGTAGAAGGGCGAACATCCCAAGTTTTGGGTCTCGTTGGAGGCTCTCGTGGTGCTTTGAAAAATGCCGCATTCTGTGAGGGATCCACAGGAGCTGCTTCTGTGGTTTCGGAGGTATTCCTATTTGTGTTCTGGCTTTTGTTCGACGCGCCAAAGGGTGAGCGCTGCTTGCCTCAGAGGGGATTGCAGGGCCCTTCCCCAACAAAAGGCTGTTTAAACAAACAGGCCTGAAGCCCGGCAAGTACAACTCAAACAGAAGCACGAAACACCCTGCCTCTGACCCCTGAAACCCCTCAAACCCCTAAAAGCCCCTAAAACCCCTAAAACCCCTAAAACCCCTAAAAACCCCTAAAACCCTTAAACCCCTTAAAACCCCTTAAACCCCTTAAGCCCCCAAAAACCCCTAAAAACCCCTTAAAACCCCTCAAACCCCCTCAAACCCCCTTAACCCGGCCTCCAAAAACCCATAAGAACCCTGGCTTCGAACCCCCAGGATGCTCCGTGAAAAATCCGATCAGGAAACCTTGGGGGCGGCCCTCGAAAGCCTCGAAAAACCTCG